TGAGATAGTATTGTAGAGGATACAATTGATGTATATCTATATGCAACGATTATTCATTGCTAACGAAAAACGATTCCGAATGGAGTTTCATTATAGGTAATATTTTGAATGGCCGTAATATTTTCGATTTGAAAAATTAAAAAATAACCTGCTTAAATGACCACACCAGTCACATTTCCAGTAGTGCTACTATTGAGAACCATTGCGAAATCTGTTTGGAAATTTGTTCACAGAAAAAAAAAAACAAAAAAAAAAATCATTTAAAACAAAATAGCAATCGGTGTTATAGAAATGATATCTCATAATATTTAATTGTATTACTGCTTAATCTATAAATTATCCATAAAACTATAATAGGTCACTAAAATTAATATTACATTCTAGTGGGTTTTCAGAAAGTAAATTTTTAAATTTTTTTTTTGATATTATTTATTACTATTTAAAAAAATTACCTATTCACCTTACCTATTACACCAATTACACGCCTACCTTATTATACCCCGCCTTATTATCTTTTAAAACAGTTATCTGTTATATTATTTATTTAATTTAAATTTTCCACAATTCAAATAAATAAGCAATCAGTGATACAGAATATATATCTCATAATGATTAATAATAAATCCCTCTCCATCCCCGGAGGGGAATCCGGTGGAAAGTTAGTTATAGTTAGTGAATAACACTACAATCAGTCAACTTTTGACCGTTAACATTTTATTTTAATGCAGTGATCATTAAGTGTATACCCACTATCATTTACTCATTTATTTTTCTTTGTTCCCCAATGTTCTGCATAAACCATTTCCTCCATCTTAAGAAAATACCTATACTTAGAATAGCGGAAGACTCCGAATGACCGACGCATTTTCGGTGACCAAGAGTGTCCCTCTTTTCAAAGGTTTCACTCCATTAATAATGGTCAATTGGAAATTTTCCAAAATGTTATAGTTTTTCATATTGCGAACGATGGTCAAGAGAAGACCAATATATTCGCTTGTTGGTAGGTCGCACTCAGATACAAGTAATCATTGCACTGGGCTGTAGGATCTTTAAACACTAATTGAACCTAACCTACCTAACTAACCTAACACCTAATCCTAATTGAGAAGACGATCACAGCCCAGTAGTCATAAAACCAGATAATCATCATTGTGCAACCTGAACGAATATGTGAAATAAAACCACACTATATAACCCCTCTGGATACGCTTTGCCGTTAAGAATATTTATAAAGTCACGTTATTTTTCGTCATTCTGAGTTACTTATCGGTAACCGAATTGTGCAAGTGAAATTCTGTGGAAATCGAATTACGTGTAATTTCCGGATATTCTCAGTTTAAACTAAGAAAAGTAGACAAATTTCACTCGGTATTACCTTTTTTTAATAAGAATACTAGGACAACGCCACCTATCCGTGAGCCCTCGCGCCGAGTATTGTATAATATTTGTTAAATATCGAAAAAAATCACCTAAGGGTAGGTACTACGGCTATAGAAAATAATCTGTCTATAGTCATTTTGGGTACCTACGCGACAGTAATCCAAATTTTACCTTTGTTTAGAAACACAAACTGACATTTACTAGCACAACGGATGAGATAGTATTGTAGAGAATACAATTGATGTATATCTGTATAAAACGATTAATCATTGCCATCGAAATACTATTTAGAATGGAGTTTCATTATAGGTAATATTTTGAATGGCCGTAATATTATTGATTTCGTCTTTCTGAGTTATTTGCATTGACTTATCGGTGGCCGAATTGTGCACGCGAAATTCTGTGGAAATCGAATTATGTGTAATTTCCGGATATTCTCAGTTTAAACCATGAAAAGTACACAAATTTCACTCTGTTGTACCATTTCTAACTAGAATACTAGAACAACGCCACCTATCTGTGAGCCCTCGCACCGAGTATTGTATAATATTTGTTAAATATCGAAAAAAATCACCTAAGGGTAGGTACTACGGCTAAAGAAAATAATCTGTCTACAGTCATTTTGGGTACCTACGCGACAGTAATCCAAATCTTACCTTTGTTTAGAAACAAACGGACATTTACTGGCACAACGGATGAGATAGTATTGTAGAGGATACAATTGATGTATATCTATATGCAACGATTATTCATTGCTAACGAAAAACGATTCCGAATGGAGTTTCATTATAGGTAATATTTTGAATGGCCGTAATATTTTCGATTTGAAAAATTAAAAAATAACCTGCTTAAATGACCACACCAGTCACATTTCCAGTAGTGCTACTATTGAGAACCATTGCGAAATCTGTTTGGAAATTTGTTCACAGAAAAAAAAAAACAAAAAAAAAAATCATTTAAAACAAAATAGCAATCGGTGTTATAGAAATGATATCTCATAATATTTAATTGTATTACTGCTTAATCTATAAATTATCCATAAAACTATAATAGGTCACTAAAATTAATATTACATTCTAGTGGGTTTTCAGAAAGTAAATTTTTAAATTTTTTTTTTGATATTATTTATTACTATTTAAAAAAATTACCTATTCACCTTACCTATTACACCAATTACACGCCTACCTTATTATACCCCGCCTTATTATCTTTTAAAACAGTTATCTGTTATATTATTTATTTAATTTAAATTTTCCACAATTCAAATAAATAAGCAATCAGTGATACAGAATATATATCTCATAATGATTAATAATAAATCCCTCTCCATCCCCGGAGGGGAATCCGGTGGAAAGTTAGTTATAGTTAGTGAATAACACTACAATCAGTCAACTTCTGACCGTTAACATTTTATTTTAATGCAGTGATCATTAAGTGTATACCCACTATCATTTACTCATTTATTTTTCTTTGTTCCCCAATGTTCTGCATAAACCATTTCCTCCATCTTAAGAAAATACCTATACTTAGAATAGCGGAAGACTCCGAATGACCGACGCATTTTCGGTGACCAAGAGTGTCCCTCTTTTCAAAGGTTTCACTCCATTAATAATGGTCAATTGGAAATTTTCCAAAATGTTATAGTTTTTCATATTGCGAACGATGGTCAAGAGAAGACCAATATATTCGCTTGTTGTAGGTCGCACTCAGATACAAGTAATCATTGCACTGGGCTGTAGGATCTTTAAACACTAATTGAACCTAACCTACCTAACTAACCTAACACCTAATCCTAATTGAGAAGACGATCACAGCCCAGTAGTCATAAAACCAGATAATCATCATTGTGCAACCTGAACGAATATGTGAAATAAAACCACACTATATAACCCCTCTGGATACGCTTTGCCGTTAAGAATATTTATAAAGTCACGTTATTTTTCGTCATTCTGAGTTACTTATCGGTAACCGAATTGTGCAAGTGAAATTCTGTGGAAATCGAATTACGTGTAATTTCTTGATATTCTCAGTTTAAACTAAGAAAAGTAGACAAATTTCACTCGGTATTACCTTTTTTTAATAAGAATACTAGGACAACGCCACCTATCCGTGAGCCCTCGCGCCGAGTATTGTATAATATTTGTTAAATATCGAAAAAAATCACCTAAGGGTAGGTACTACGGCTATAGAAAATAATCTGTCTATAGTCATTTTAGGTACCTACGCGACAGTAATCCAAATTTTACCTTTGTTTAGAAACACAAACGGACATTTACTAGCACAACGGATGAGATAGTATTGTAGAGAATACAATTGATGTATATCTGTATAAAACGATTAATCATTGCCATCGAAATACTATTTAGAATGGAGTTTCATTATAGGTAATATTTTGAATGGCCGTAATATTATTGATTTCGTCTTTCTGAGTTATTTGCATTGACTTATCGGTGGCCGAATTGNAGAACAACGCCACCTATCTGTGAGCCCTCGCACCGAGTATTGTATAATATTTGTTAAATATCGAAAAAAATCACCTAAGGGTAGGTACTACGGCTAAAGAAAATAATCTGTCTACAGTCATTTTGGGTACCTACGCGACAGTAATCCAAATCTTACCTTTGTTTAGAAACAAACGGACATTTACTGGCACAACGGATGAGATAGTATTGTAGAGGATACAATTGATGTATATCTATATGCAACGATTATTCATTGCTAACGAAAAACGATTCCGAATGGAGTTTCATTATAGGTAATATTTTGAATGGCCGTAATATTTTCGATTTGAAAAATTAAAAAATAACCTGCTTAAATGACCACACCAGTCACATTTCCAGTAGTGCTACTATTGAGAACCATTGCGAAATCTGTTTGGAAATTTGTTCACAGAAAAAAAAAAACAAAAAAAAAAATCATTTAAAACAAAATAGCAATCGGTGTTATAGAAATGATATCTCATAATATTTAATTGTATTACTGCTTAATCTATAAATTATCCATAAAACTATAATAGGTCACTAAAATTAATATTACATTCTAGTGGGTTTTCAGAAAGTAAATTTTTAAATTTTTTTTTTGATATTATTTATTACTATTTAAAAAAATTACCTATTCACCTTACCTATTACACCAATTACACGCCTACCTTATTATACCCCGCCTTATTATCTTTTAAAACAGTTATCTGTTATATTATTTATTTAATTTAAATTTTCCACAATTCAAATAAATAAGCAATCAGTGATACAGAATATATATCTCATAATGATTAATAATAAATCCCTCTCCATCCCCGGAGGGGAATCCGGTGGAAAGTTAGTTATAGTTAGTGAATAACACTACAATCAGTCAACTTTTGACCGTTAACATTTTATTTTAATGCAGTGATCATTAAGTGTATACCCACTATCATTTACTCATTTATTTTTCTTTGTTCCCCAATGTTCTGCATAAACCATTTCCTCCATCTTAAGAAAATACCTATACTTAGAATAGCGGAAGACTCCGAATGACCGACGCATTTTCGGTGACCAAGAGTGTCCCTCTTTTCAAAGGTTTCACTCCATTAATAATGGTCAATTGGAAATTTTCCAAAATGTTATAGTTTTTCATATTGCGAACGATGGTCAAGAGAAGACCAATATATTCGCTTGTTGTAGGTCGCACTCAGATACAAGTAATCATTGCACTGGGCTGTAGGATCTTTAAACACTAATTAAGCCTAACCTACCTAACTAACCTAACACCTAATCCTAATTGAGAAGACGATCACAGCCCAGTTGTCATAATGCTGTGCATTCATCATCGTGTAACCTAATCGAATATGTGAAATAAAACCACACTATATAACCCCTCTGGATACGCTTTGCCGTTAAGAAGATTTATAAATTCACGTTATTTTTCGGCATTCCGAGTTACTTACCGGTAACCGAATTGTGCTAGTGAAATTTTGTGGAAATCGAATTACGTGTAATTTCTTGATATTCTCAGTTTAAACTAAGAAAAGTAGACAAATTTCACTCGGTATTACCTTTTTTTAATAAGAATACTAGGACAACGCCACCTATCCGTGAGCCCTCGCGCCGAATTTTGTATAATAATTGTTAAATATCGAAAAAATAACCGAAGGGTAGGTACTACGGCTATAGAAAATAATCTGTCTATAGTCATTTTAGGTACCTACGCGACAGTAATCCAAATCTTACCTTTGTTTAGAAACACAAACGGACATTTACTAGCACAACGGATGAGATAGTATTGTAGAGAATACAATTGATGTATATCTGTATAAAACGATTAATCATTGCCATCGAAATACTATTTAGAATGGAGTTTCATTATAGGTAATATTTTGAATGGCCGTAATATTATTGATTTCGTCTTTCTGAGTTATTTGCATTGACTTATCGGTGGCCGAATTGTGCACGCGAAATTCTGTGGAAATCGAATTATGTGTAATTTCCGGATATTCTCAGTTTAAACCATGAAAAGTACACAAATTTCACTCTGTTGTACCATTTCTAACTAGAATACTAGAACAACGCCACCTATCTGTGAGCCCTCGCACCGAGTATTGTATAATATTTGTTAAATATCGAAAAAAATAACCTAAGGGTAGGTACTACGGCTATAGAAAATAATCTGTCTACAGTCATTTTAGGTACCTACGCGACAGTAATCCAAATCTTACTTTTGTTTAGAAAAACAGACATCTACTAGCATAACAGATGAATGACGGCCGTGTACTCGACGTCGTATTCTGGACTCTATTCCTACCCGACTCTGTCCTTTAGCCCGGCCAATACCCGGGTACCCTGTGCGCAACTGAATGCCGACTACTTGTGCATGCATACCAACCAACATAACAAGAAAATAAACTCCGCGCTATGACTCGCGTGTGCATTCGTTATATTCCGAGTGTTTGCTGTTTTGTTTGCAGACTATTTAAAAGTAATTATCGATCTCGACCAACGAGCGTCACGACTGCCGGGGCGATCCATTGAGTGTTTTTATTTTTCGCTCTGCAAAATTGTTTTTAATGTAAACGCAGCGGTGACGGGTTCCCGTCGTCTCGCGCGCCGTTTAATTTGTCGATTGCGCCGTTCCGATCCGCCGAGTAACAACGATCTGACGGTGTACGTAGTACGCGATCGGGCCGTCGAAATCGTCCGATCGATAATTCGAAATGGTCGAGGGACGCGCGAATGGAATGTTGACGGCAAAGACGGCGCAGCTCGTCGCGTAGGAAAATATTGCGCGATACGGTTTATGGCCCCGTGTCGTTCGGCAGCCTCCCTCCTCGCCCCTCTAACGGCAGGTGCGTTGGCCATCTCTTTTCGATCGTGCGTCGCGACACCTCGGTGTCGCTGCATACGCACACGCATAATACAATATAGACGACCGGAGGCGGGCATTCAAATGTTCTGACGCATTAAGTAATACGTTTACCGCGTAGGTAATAATAATAGCGACAGCGATGGCAATATCGTTCTGTGCGGATATCGGCGACAAGGACGCTCGTCCGAGACGCCGGAGGGCGTGTTGTCAAAACAACAGTGCGGGCCGGAAAGCGCGAGGAGGCGCGTGTCGCGACAATGTAACGCGAGCGATAACGGCGAGACGCGATGACGCGAATCGGATTCGGATCGAGAGAAAAACGTGGATAATAAAAAAATAGAGAACCCGACGGCTGAAAATCCGGCCCGTGATCGTGAATCAGTCGGTTACATCGCAACAGCGTGTGTTGTTACACAGTAACAGTGTGTTATCGTCGCGTAGTCGGGACAACGCGGTCGTCGATACGAATCGCGGGCTGATTGACTGATGACCGCGCGCGGCCCCGGGACGTATTATTATAATACAATATCGGAACATGGCGCGTACCGGTCGATTTGATGCGGCACTGCCGTACCCGTCGTAATAATACCGTTCACGATCTCACCGTCGGTATTATCTTACAACAACGGGTCGTTGTTGTTGCGGAGTTTTTTTCTCGGTTTTATCCCCCCCGCCAACCACCCCACCCACTCGCCCGCGCCGGTGACGTATTGTATTGTAAAACGCGTCCGCAAAGCCGAACCCCCCTCCCCCGGATCGAAAACGATAATACGAAATGCCATTATTAAACTCGGACAGAAAGAAAACGACTACCGTTAGTCGAACGCGATCATCGGGTCTCGGGACAGCCCACGGTCTTCTGATATTTTGTCGATCACCGGGAAACGAAAAAGAAAACGCCGGTTTTCGCCCCGGTCTTTCACCCTGCGCCCTACTCTCTCTCCCCCCCACCCCCTCCCCCTCGTAGCGGGAAAATGGGTATTTCGCGGTACGTTTACTTACGGCGCGCGCGCGCCTCGAACCGACCCCCGGCCGACACGCGCGGCGTCTGACGGCAGAAACACGTTCGATAAAGCCCACTTATAATGCACGTACAACGTGCACAGACGGCCAGTGGAAGTGTTCCGTTCGGCCTACGCGTTGTATTATTGTTGTTAATCCGGTATCGGATATTAATATTGCGCCGTTGCACGACGAGAAAACCCGCGGACGTGCACACGGTACGATAATATAAATATATGATATTGTATTGTAATTGGAGGGCGGATCCGGGAACGTTTCTCGGGCCGGCGCAGTGCGGCGCGTAACCGGCAATTTGCGTTAAATTAAAAATATCGAGAGGGAAAAAAAAAAATCGTAGAAACGGACACGACGGTCGGTCGTGTTCAATCGCGGATAGGCTGCGTGTGAGAATACCGCGCAATATTTACAATATCATTAAAGTTGTGGCGCGTACCGCGTGCGCCGGAAAATTATTATTAATTCGGATCGGACTCGCGGGGCCCGACCGTCTCCCGCCATCGAACCTCGGCCACTCCCCGCCGCGGCGGCGTGACGACGGCGTGTACGCGATATCCGAAGGGCGAGACCGCAATAACATTATTAACGACGTGATCTATGGATACGGGTACCGATATTGAAATTTCACATTGTGTCGGCAATAATGTTAATGTACAATACCCAAATACAGAGTGAGAGAGAGAGAGATAGAGAAACCGAACGCCATCGCGTCACGATCTATCTCGGCTGTATATTATCGACGGGACCATAACCCGGCGGCGGCCTCCCCGGCCGACAAACGAGGCGACGAAACCGTGTGTAATAACTGTAATGATCTCTCTCTCTCCGTAGAAAAAAAAAAAAAAACATTTCGTCGACGTGTCCTCCTTGTTAGTTCGTCCGCGGCTCCGTGATTTTCGGAATCCGCCCGCCCGACGGCACAGCGACGACTTCCATTCGGCTCGCGTTGTTATCGCGGGGTTTCGCCTCTAAACGCGCTTGCATTAGAAATCGGCTTTTGTCCGCCCGCCGCGCAATATTGTTGGGAAAACACGTCTCCGAGCCAACTCCCAGCCGGTTCGATATTCCTCTCTAGACACGCTTCGCCCGCGAAATCGATTCTCTTGCGTTACATTCCTTTGTTGGTTTCAGACTAGGTATCCCTTCGCCGAAAGACGCCGCATTTCCCTGTTTCCGTTACGCGATTTCGTTACATTCAATTTGTACAAATCTCGCTCTGATCAAAAAATGCCAAGTGACCGCTGTGTATTGCATTATTTTTTTTTGCTTTTATTGTTGATTGTCCGTGTGTGGTTTTCTTAACAACTGAGCGAAACCGGGAAGAGAACGTAGAAAACACGAGAAATTTCATGGAAATAATCGTTGCATTATTTTTCGATTTTGTTTACTCACTGGCTAATAAATACGAACAAATATGAGTAATCTTATATCGAAATGTATATATTTCAGCCAAGTCACGCCAAGTTAAGTTGCTTTCAAAGAAAATACTTATTCAGTATTCTCCGACTTTTTATGTCATATATTAAAAGGGACGGATTTTTTACTTAATTGTATTTTATTGAAACATGTTTTCGAATTCATATATGAAGTATAATAATTATTTTTCCAAAAAAATTCTTTTTTTTTTTTGTTTTTAATACTTAAATAGTTAGACAAATATTCCAAGTTGTGTATATTGTATATCAAACGATGATTTCTGACTGACGGTACTTTATTTTAAATATTTATTGAAATTTTCTGCAGTTCCCTTAGCAATAAAGGGGGGGGGGGAAAGCACGACTAATACTACGCGCCACTTAGAGTCATATTTCACTTTTTGTACTTAAAAATACATAAAGCCATGTGCCGTTTTCTTAAATACTGTGAGTACTGTAAGAACTAATATTTAATTGGTGAACACACTAAATTTCTTGTCCTTTTATTTCGAACGACGTCAAATTTGACAGTTGTAGAAGAAGAAAATGTTTATTATTGATAAGGTATTAACGGCCGTGAAAACGAATGGTCTTGGTGATCTTGAATGTTTTATTAATTTTATAATAATTATATAATCAACCGAAATAGATTTAATTACTTTGTTTACCTACTCGTCAGATCGGTGTGAATCTCATAGTTAGTTACTCGAGCATTACGTGCATTAATAATTGTGTTAATTATAAAATCCCGAGTGGGAACAAAAATTAATAGGTGCCTAACCTACACTGAATTGTAGTACGACAAACATTTTTTATAAAGCGAAATGATACGGGACTTTTGGAACCCGCTGTTTAGTAAAGTGATAGTAAAAGACTACGTGAGTTCTAAACACACTCTCCCAGTCTTACGAGACAGTTAATAATAGGCAAACGGCATTCAGTGGCGGACTGGCCCGGGTGACTAGCCGGCATTTGCCGGTTGGCTCGTCTTCTGTATTGAGGGTTTATGGCCCCAGGTAGATATAACGATTTTGTTGGTTTTAAATTTTAAAGTATAATTGACATAACGTTGTTGTCTCTTGGGATTTTATTTTAACGATATCGGATATTCATCATCTTATGAGCGTTGTTTTATTCCAAAAATAAACGAAAATAAAAGATAATGGCTTGTTACTTGTTACTGCAACACAAATATTATGGATTCTATTTTAATCCGCGTCAGCCGCTGTCGCCTTTAATTTAATTTATCATCGGAAATCGGCATAGGCTAACAAATTTTCGGACAAAACTGTATTATTATTTAGTCTTGTGGAAAATACTTTTCAATTTGTATTTAAATACAGATACAAATACATCCGTTCAGAAAGTATGTGAAATACATTTAAAATAATTTTATTAACTTAAAAATGTATAATCACTTGCATTTTCGGGGTCATGACAAATATGACGTTTATGATATTGTTAATAGTTCGTGGCAATATTATTATGTTTTTAAATGCCTTGCACGGGAATAATCGAGCACGCCCTCGGGAATAACCGAAATCAAAAGCTGATAAAAGCTAAAACTCGTTTTATAAATTTGCGACGAAAGACTATAATGTTTAGCTAGAGTACGCGTGCAGCATTCGGAACTTGAATTTTTTTTTTTCTACGGTGGGTAGGGGGAAAGACTGATATAAGTTTCGGGGTGCCTAACCTCCGAAATACTTCGAAACGCCGTGACGTTCCGGTGGTGGTGGGGGGGGGATAAACTAACGTCGTAAAACGCCATTAATCCATGCCCCGCAACGGTGTGGAGGGGGGGGGGCACGTCTTGTCCGGCCACGGGTACGGCTATACAGTGCGTTATCGTTTTGTCGTACGCGTGCGCTTCACGAGTCCACCGGCCTTATTGGTTCCGAGTTCCGAAACGACGCCGCGGTGTACCGTAATCATTACGCCGCGTCCGACACGACGTAGGCGCGCGCGCGCCCGTCGGGATGTTACGTTTACACGCGCACCGCCGAACAAATTAATCGTTTGTCTGTCCCGCGATGCGGAATAATGCGCCCGCCGTGCGGCGTTCGCACGACGGCCGCGTACGACAATAATAATACGCACGACTCTCGATCGTAAATCCCCCCCCCTCTCCCCGGCTCCAGACACCGACCGCAGATACGTCGCGAATTCCACCGGAATGCGTACGCGGTAAATAACATAATAATAATAATAATACCTCGCGTACGCTTGTACGGTTACGGTCGTAATATTATTATTGTGTCCGGTAAACTACCGATATTATAAATTTCGCCCAGATCATTATCTCGGTCGAGATGACGTAGTATAGAGCGGATTCCGACCGGTCATCTATGTACACGCTTACATATATATATATACAGGGTGATTGTTTTATCGCGAACCTGCGGCGATTATACGGCGTGTGCGCGGACACGATTTTCGATTACATTCGGTCGTTGTACGTTACCGGACCGCCGCCGTCGCGCCGTTTGAAGCGATCTCGGTCGTTTTATTACTATTACAGAATCATCGCTGGAAATGATATCGTTTATAATGTATTCGACATTTTGACATTATTCCGTGTATATTTATATGTAGGTTCGAAGTTACACATATGGAATAATGTCAAAATGTTGAATATTATGTTGTAAACGAGAACATTTCCAGTGACGGTTCAATAGATTCTATATAATAATATAACGACTTTGTAAGCCCACTTAATGGGCTTTCGTTGATTTTAAGTGTTATACGTTCCGAACCTTGAATTAATAAATAATCCACCTCGTAATATTGATCTAATATTTTCGACTATAATATTTCTACAGCGAAATCTTTTTGCATATTTATATAATATAATAATACATTATATATATAAATTATGTGTGTGTTTACATGAGTATTTTGGTATATTATGAGAATTATTACGCTGGAAAAACATAGCGACATCTGTTGGTCAAATGTTGAAAATATTGTTTACGTAGTTGTTTAAATATCATAGAGTCGAGAACTAAATTCAAAAATCGTTGTATTTGCTACGAAAATAAAAATGCGTGCATTGTTTAATGTTTATTACCATTACACATTTATGAACTACATATTTTTATAAAAAATACCTAATATTATTATAAATAGTAGGTATGCAAAACAATATACATTGAAAATGGAAATATTGCTTTTTTATTAATGGAGAAATCGGATAGGCAATTTAAATTACAGCGAAAAAATCGTGAAGGAAATACATTTATACGACATAACTTCCTGGCTAGTTGATGTATGACTATTGACTACTGACGCGGCATGTACCGGGTTTTCAACAAAGTGATTGTCCAGAAGATTTCTCGCTTGGGCGTGACTTTCGAGACATCAAGAAAAAGGCTGTTATTTTTTGATTTAAGAGATTTACGTGTCTGGACTGATGAATAATTTTGTTTATCCTACGTCCGCGGTGATATCGCAAAAGCGCCGACCGCCGTGTGAATTTTATTTTTACTAACCATATTATCATGTTTTGTCTACGAATAATTATGTGTTTCTTTCTCGAAAAGCGAATTCCCCTTATGTAGGCTGCTTCTTAAGTTACTATCTTTTTTAAAATGAAATAACTCTGTGGAAAATGAACTAAATTTCGATATTATTTTCCATTTACATTCACAAGAGTCTCCGATTTAATGGTGAAAAATCATATCCAGCATATGACCACCTCCGGAGTTTCGGCAGGCAATTATCCGCTCGTTAAAACTGTAAACTGAAATCAAACGACCATGGAATTTTTCACGTAGTAATGTCATCGTCTATCGGGCTGTGTGGCAGATTGCTCCATTCTGTTGTTATTTTTTTTTTTTACTTATAGGTACATTTTTGTGTTACCAGTTGCAGATTTTGCTAAGCACAAAACTGCATGTATAGGTATATAAGATAACAGAATAATTGTATACAGAATGATTTTTTTGTCTTGAACCAGCAATTTTCTAGGAGGATTTTAAGTGAATTTGATTTCTGTTTTTTTTTTTTTAACCATTATGGAATTAGTAAGCTTTATTTTAAACAATTTTTAATTTATTTATACTAGTCCATAAACATTAAATAATTATATACGTTTGTTTTTCAGATAGGAATCCCCACTTATTAATCAGATTTGAATAGATAATATTTTTCTAGACATTATAATATATATAATACTAATATGAGATTTAACTTTTATGAGTTATAACCATTTAAAGTTTAGATTAGAGGAGTAGATAGAGTGCAGTCATGCAATTTATTACCCTACTTCAAAAAGAGGGTTCCTATTTTAAAAAAAGTATAATATACTTATTTAAGATATATGAAGTAGGGCAAAAAATTAAATATGGTTTTAAAATAAAAATTATATTCTCCATAATGATTAAAAAAAAAACAGAAATCAAATTCACTTAAAATTCTTCAAGAAAATTGGTAGTTGGTGATTTATAAACCACCCTATATATATATCTTATATTATAAAATATATTGATAAAACTATTAAGAATCAAATTTTTGTATATATTTAATCATAATCTATAAATTATAATTATTCATATCTAAAAGGCCTAAATTTTTAATTATTAAAAATAAAAGTGTAATTATTAAATTTATAAATTAATACTTAAAATGATGAAGAAAAAATCTAATAATTAACAAATGTTATGTATATGGTATAAGTGTTAATTAAGTAAAAAACATAGGAGTTTCAATAGATAATAAGTCATTTAGTTGAATTTTTTTCTGTTCCTCCTCCAAATTTTTGAGATTTATATATTTGCTTTAAGAAAAAAAAAAACATTCAAAATTATTTAAGAAAATAATATTTTAAACTATATTAACTTACTTTTCAATATAAACGCGTGCTCTATTAGCAGCCAAATGAGCGTAGTATGTCGGTGTTGGACGTGAAATTGAGCGAGTGCATCGAGCCAAAACAAAACACAAGTAGAAAGTAAGTTGTTCTAATTCATCTTCTGAGAAATTGCTATCATCCCAAATAAGATGGTACCCGGTTGGTCTAGATGTATCCTTTATAAATATAATAAATAATTTAAAAATGGAAGAATTTATGAGTTTAAAATTGTAAAAACATGATTAATAACTACAATTAAAATTAATAACTAACTTGACTACATAGGTAGAAATCCGCTTTTGTAGGATGTGTTATCTGGGTGTGCACAATTGTACCAGATGGAAAACTTTGAGATTTTCCATTCTTATCTATTGGATGTATGGGGAACATACTAGTACCATTTCGTTTTTGTAAAACCAAAAATGTTATAGGAGGTTGATACTTCATATTTAACCGTAAACATGCACGTCTGATAGCAATCATCTCATAGTTTAACAATTCTGGAAGCTGTCCATTACCAACACCATCCCTGTAATAAAGGATTTTTTTTGGAGGAATGCCGTTCTTATCCATATACATGAGCAATTGTTTGTGAACTATGTTTTCTAAATCGTGTATAATCTCCTCATTAGGCTTTAGTAAGCGCCATTCCACATTGTATTGGATTCCAAATAAATCATGACTTGCTGCTACCTGAGATACAATAGAAAAATATAATTAACACTAGTTAAGTAATTTTGTATTAAGTTATAACTATTTGATAGTTATTCCAAACTTTGAACTGGGAATTATCAAATTTAGAACTGTGGTTTTAATTTAACCTGATGAAAACAATTTTTATTTTCCAAAATTTCCATGTCCAAAAAACCAAATAAAAAAAAACTGATACTGTGGATGGGTGTGATCACTGTTGTAGGTGGGTAGTGAGGAAGATGGGAAACATAGTTAAGTTTATACCTGTAACCAACAATGAACCATTGATACCGAAAAACGATTCAAAACACAGTTCAGATATACATTTCTCTTTTGATGTTTTTCTATTAGATCAATATTTATGATATAAAACATCAGCCATACAAATTTAAAATAAAGAAATTGTTGTGCCATAATTTCAAAAATTTGTATTTTTCTTCTTTTATGGTATTTTTTTAATTATTATGAAAAATACTAACAAAAAATTGTTTGCAAAAATTAAAATAATTAAATCAGGAAGCCACATTGCCATAAATAATAATTAATTTTAATTTTTTGATTTTCCAAATTTTTGTGAAAACTACTTTGGTTATCAAAACATCTCTTTCTCTATCCATAACATGTTAGATATTATAAAATATAAATTTATAATGATTAATAATTAGTATTATTATTATTTTTATTATTGATTATTTCTTCAAAAAGATAATTGGCCCCACTGAACAGATTTGTGTGTATTGAATTTATTAAACTAGTAAGTAATGAGTAATTATGAATTTTAATTTTAAATTTATATTTTATATATCATGTGTTAAAAGGAAATTGATCTCTGGTCAATTTTGGATTGTAGCAATATTTCTGGTAGGAAACATCATATTAACATACTAAAAACAATGCAAACTGTAATACTGTGGCACATTTTAAATATTTGAGTTTTACCTATAGTTTTCTTTCTGGTTTCTCTCAATTTTTTCAAAAACCCCTTGAAAAAACAGAAAATGTGTCTCCCAATACACTAATAAGAGAAAATTAGTTTTCAGTAAAGGTACTATAGTTTATACTTCAGGTCTTTAGAACAAGTTTTCTTGCAGAAAAGATGTTCATAGTTACAAAAAGTGAAAGTAATTTTTAAAAAACTACACATAATAAAGTAAAACTAACCAAAAGTTCAGAATCTAAAAATATGGAGATGGTTGCAGTCGCTGTTATAGGTAATTTAATATATATCTGTAAGCACCAATAAACCATTGCTTATGAACAAATAATTCTGAGCAGAATTCAGTTGATAGTGATACTTTATCAACAATATATATGCCACATTATACTAAAATAATTAAATAGGCTCTACATGTTTTTTTAATAATATTTGTTTAATGTTGTACCGTTTTTCCTATGTTTTTTACTAGTTTTTCACATTTGATCAGAAAACTCCAGAAAAAATCGGAAAACGGACTTCTTTAAGGTACTTCCCCACACTGATTCCCGTACAGAAAAGGTACTACACTTAAAAATCCGAGCAAGTTCTGTGGTAGAAAAGTTGTTCATAAAAAAAAATATAAATAAACATTGTTGTAAAACCATAAGCTTCTTTGTTCCACTAAGAATCTAAAAATCAAAACTACTTTTATGTTAATGAGAAAATTGTACCAAGTAAAAACAAAGAAATTTATTAGTTATTTCAACATGTCATAATAAGACTAAATTTACTAAGATATTATATGTCAATAATCATCCCCACTGAAACGAGATCAATATGTTATTCTTCTTATTAACTTCTGAGATTTTTAACATATAAGCATTCTACAAAATAAACTCAAAAGCTTTACTATTGTAGAGTTTAAACCAGAATAAATATAATACAATTAAATTTTAAATGTTAATGATAACATTGAACAAATTATCCAATTCTAATAAATTTATATTTGATTACTCCAATAAAAAAAGGTGACTGTAAGTAAATAATTTATTATATTATTTAATACAATAAAATTAAAACTTCATAAAAACTTGAATGAATAATTTTGAACTAGTTCTTCTACTTGTTGAAATATACTCACAGCAGCAATCGATGGAATATTTTCTTTAACTTGAGATGGATGGCTGATATCTACTCCAAAAATAATTGCATCTCTCATGCTGCTAGGGCTAAATCACAGTTATGGTTAAATATATATAAATGTATAATATATAATATACTAGCTGTCCCTCCTGTCATTGATTGTGCTAATTTTTTATTATTTTTTTTTACCCATATTCCTTTTTGGTTTTGACTGTGTCAGTACTTAATGGGAATAAATTAGTAGAAATAATTGTTCTGTTGTGACATTTGTTCATGATTTTTATACCATAAATATTAAGTATATTAAAATCAAAATTTGATGGAAGTGGATTTCAAAGGAAGTGAAGCCTAATCTAACCTATCGAGGAGTGGGGATGCTGGACAGTGGGAGAGTGTGACCATATTTATAATATTGGTGCAGACAGCAGGAGTTTCTTTTATGCCTTTATGTGTGTGTTTACCGACAATTTATATTAATACAACATTAATTACTCTATTATTAAACTATATACATAGATATTATAGGTACATAAAAGTGAATCGATATTTTGTTAATAATTCCATAACTTGAATACCATCCAAATTTCTAACTTTTTGGTTGATTTTCTAAAAATTTTCTTTCGTACAGACCTTTATTTTTATTTATCATCAATTTGCTATTATTATGGATACATATGATATCAGAACTGTTCTAAATTTTACTATTTATTTATTTTTTTGTTTTTTGATTTCATTTATATCACCAAGGTAATTCATAAATAAGGGGTGGCCAAACTTTTTTTGAGAGATCTACTAAGAATATATTTTTCCTTTGAAGGTTGACTTCCTGATGAAAATTATAAATTATCTAATAGGTATTAAAAATAAACATATATGTACAATAAATTAAAATGTATAGTTAAATAATGTTATTTATCACACTTTTATTAAGATTGTTATAATATTCTACATACAATTTCCAGTGTAAACGCTTTTTAATAGTATTACTTGATAAATCGACAACAAAATATTAATATATTAAGATAAAAATGATAAGCAGTTATTGTAATTTATCTATTAATTATATAAAATTGAGTTCTAACGAAGGGAGATTGACATTTAAACCGATCTTGATCCTGGTTGACCACCCCTGCTATAAATCAACAAAAATAATTTTATCGCTGTACTATAAATACCAATAACCCTGTTTCAGCCCACCCATGCAACGCCTCACCTATCAGGTCCAATTGTGAGTAAACAATCCAGGGACCCATTCAAATAAACACACACAATTTCATCAGAATCGGTCCAGTTGTTTAAGAGGAATTCAATTACATACACAAGGACTGAAGAAACATATATATATAAACTAGTTGTCCCGCGCCCGGAATTGCCCGTGCCAAATTGTATTATTATTATTTTACCCATATTCATTTTTGGTTTTGGCCGTGTTACAATTGAATGAAAACAAATAGGTGTAAAATGGGTAGTCCACCTGCGGCGGCCTAAATGTGTTCTATTGTGAAATTTGAATAGTGTAAATAAAAATTATAGTAGTTTTATTTTATAATGTGTCGATGACTCGTTGATGGGCCAGTCTTTGTCTCAATGCATTAGCTCGACGGCGTTCATTGCGTTACTCTTGACTTTCATTAGTACGTGTGATTGCCGCCTGGTTTCTTAAATTTTCATTGTCCGTCAATTGATCTTTTGCCGATCTATTTAACCGACGGTTCTGGACTGATTGTGAATTCCGAGTCCGTCCAATAATTCCTCCTCGTCCACGAAGACGTGACATTGTTTTATGTATGTAACTTTTTAGAAAAATTGATGTTATTTCAAAATAAAGAATAATGAAATTATTATATTATTTGTCTTTCATACTTTATTTAATATCCTAATCTCTTGAAGTATCAAAAAAAACGAAATCCTATGTAACTATTGTAACTTAATTTAATGCACGTAAATTAATGCTCAATATTTACGCAAATGCGATATGAATGAATACATACACAAAATGAATGAATGAATGACAGACGTTGTTCTGCATGATATTTCAAGTGATTGGGACAAATTCATTCAAGTCGATCCAGCCATTTAGTTACATTATAGATAAATATCCCGACGGAACATGCAGCTAATATAGCTGTCCCGCCCAGCGTTGCCAATTTTCTATTGTTTTTTACCCCTATTCCTTTTTAGTTTTGTTTTTGACCGTGTGAGTAATGAATCAAAAAAGTAGGTAGAAAGTGAGTAGTTCAACTTCGACGGAATAAGTGTTCTATTATGACATTTTTTTCATGATTTTCATACGAAAAATAACGAAACTTCGATATTTTTTAAATTGGGGGGGGAGGGTTGATGGATTTCAAAGGAAGTTAAGCCTAATTTAACTTATCAGGGAATGGGGATGCTTGACAGCGGAAAAGTGCGTGTACCATATTATAGCTAATTGTCGTTCGCAGACGGCACGGTGTTTGTTTTATACCTTCATGTGAACATGACCGACAATTTATATTAATATAAAGTTAATAATTCAGTTATTAATCTGTATGTATAAAAATGGATCGATATTTTGTCGGTGTTGCATTAACTTGAATACCATCTAAATTTCAAACTTTTCCGGTAGATTTTTCAAAAATCGTCTTTCATAATAACCTTACGAATACACGACAAAAAAATCAGGCATATCGGTCCGTCCGTTTTCAAGTTATGGTGTCGGCAAAAAAATATCAATTAATTTATACACACCTATATAATATAAATGTGCGTATTTGCCGATATATTCAAATTTATATTTAAAAAAATATTAACTCGATTGTACCACTCTCTTGGTGCCCTCTGATGAATCTTTATTTATTCATTTTCTATCTGAATGAACATTTCAATTTTGGGAGAACTTACGCGGAATATCTTACTAATTATTCATTTTTTGGTTTTTTAATTTCATTCGTATCACCAAGGTAACCCATAAATCAACAAAAAAAAAAAAAAATCGCTGTACAAAAAATACCAATTACTCTGTGTGAACTATCCTTGCAATGCCACATATCGGGTCCAATTGTGAATATAAACCATCCAGGGACCCATTCAAACACATAAAAAATTTCGTCAAAATCAGTCCAGCCGTTTAGGAGAAGTTCAGTGACATACACACGTACAGTAGAATTATATATATAAAGATATACCTATAAAGAAGATAATATATTCTATAATGTCAAATTTATATTCAGTAGAACTAATTTGTGCTGTTATTTTAATACTATATTAAATTGGCTCATTATCAAACCTAAATGTAACATTTGTGATTGTAGGCCAGTTGTTTTTTTTTTTTAATTAAAATTTTTAAGTAAGATATGAGAATGCGAAATGTTAAAATTAATAAATAATCGTATCTTACTTAAAAATTAAAATATCAAGAAAAAAAAATCAATGTACAAACCAAGAACTTTACAATAGACAAATTCATTTTAATATTAAATTTAACAGTTCCACTGAATAGATCATCAATCGTCAACATTATGTATCACACACAGGCTGAAAAAGGAATATCTGAAATCTAAAATAAATTTAATAATTCAGATCAGTTCAGTTCACTATGATTTGTCTTTCATGTTTGATAATCAAAATAAATTTATAAAATCTAGGATTTTGTAAAAAAAATGTTTAGATTCTGAGTGTAGCAAAAAATGAATTGGTTTTACAAAGATTTTTTTTATTTTTTAATTTAATTTTTACTATATATTGGGTCAAAAATTTCTACCAGAAATCTTGCTCCGATATGTGGCACTTTTTCTGAAAGGAAATATTGTTTAGATCAGTGGCGCACAACAGTTTTTGGTCCACGGCCCGCAAAATTAATTTATTTCATGACCCCCCTTCCTACTAACTATACATAAGTATATAAAATGTATATGTATACTTGGCTATGTACCTACAGTCTACATCATATATCACTTTACTGTAAAAGGACTATTACAATTGAACTATAAAAAAATAATTTTATTTGAAGTCATACCATGTATAACTCACAACACAAATAAAACCACTCTTTTGGTAACTAAATGGAGAATAAGTTAAACATATTTTTAGCAACTAAAAGTATATTTAAGGGTGTTTAAAGGGGTTGATTCATTAAAATTATTCAAAAATTTACTTTTCTAAAATTAATCTAAAAGTCTAAAAGAGATGAAACATTTAGAAAATTTAATTTGAAAAAAAAAATGTATATTTGTTTTCTTCTTATGATAATTGTTGATGCAATGATCTCTATTTAGAAATTATTATTTACATTCATAAAAAATTGAAGTTAGTGTAGTATATTTTTTTATAAGAATTTTAATATCAAATTTTGACGAAAATTATTTTAATGAACAATTTTGTGGAACAAATCTAGTAACTAGTCCATACACATTCTTTCAATTTATATTTATTTTTCTATAATATGACATATATATTGTTAAAAAGCAATATTGAAAACTGAGCTTTGCTCAGAATATTTTTTCGATAAGAATGATTAATCTTTGCTTACAGATATACATCAAATTCCCCTCTACATCCTACCTTCCCCACTTCTCAACTACAACAGTGGTCTACTTTAATTACTAATAGAGCGAAGTATGCACCTATTTTTAATTTTTAACTTAATAAAAAAAAAATAGTGGTATTATAGTGTTAAGGATCAAGTAATTATTTAAAGATAAATAAAAAAAAGATAGACATACTTTGCATGTTGGTGGGCCGCTGTTATAGGTGGGAAGTTTGGAAGGTAGGATATAGAGGGGAATTTAATATATATATTTGTATGCAACGATTAATCATTCCTAACGAAAAATGATTCTGAGCAGAGTTCAGTTTTACAAGTTTTAAAACGCTATAATATTTACGATTTTCATAAAAAATTTTAATAAAAATAAAATACAGCAATAACTTTAACTTTTTCTTGTTGATCACTAAAAATTACAACCTAAAATGAACGAATGAATGCATTTCTGTTAGATCCAATAATTTTATCCACAAAATACATTTTAATAAAATTCCCTAAAAACTTGCAAAATTAAAATGTCTATAAATAGCTTATTTTCTAGTTTTTCCCAATTATTATAAAAACCAAAAAATGATGTTCTACAGCACCAATCAGATAAAATTCCCTTTTATAAAAGGTGCTACACTTGATACATTGAAGGAGGATTTGGGTTGAAATTTTGTTAAAAAAAAAAGTTGTCCTAAGATAATGGGGACTGGTACAGTCACTATTGTTGATGAGAAGCTGGGAAGGTAGGATATAAAGAGGAAATTAATTTGTATCTATACAAGTAATTATAAACCATTGCTTACTAAATCTATTCTGAGCTAAATTCAGTTGATAGTGATGCTTTGTCAACAATATATGTCATATTATGGTAAAATAATTAAATAATCATTATATATTTTTTTGATACTATTTGTTTAATATAGTTCTGATTTTCCCGGTTTCCTACATTTTTCCATTTTTTACTTGTTTTTTCATGGTTTTTCAGATTTAATGAAAAAACTCTTTGAAAATCGAAAAATTAGCTCCCTAAGATACCGCCTTAAGAAGATTTCCTTTCAGAAAAGGGTCTATATCATATAAATTGTAGCAAGATTTCTGTTAGAATTTTTTTACACAGTATAAAAAAATAAATATAAATATAAAACCAATACATTCTTTGCTATAATCAGAATCTAGAAAACAACAACAATATACAAATTAACACATTCCTCACTTTGCTTAAGATCTAAAATTCTTTAAATTTTTAATAACTGTGAGCAATTAATATAAATATTATTCTCTGATTTTTGACTGTAATAAAAATGTGATTAAGTCATACAATTTTTGAATTATTGTACTATAACTTAATTTTTAATATTTGGTTACTTTTTAAATTAACATGCCGAAATTATATTTTTATCTTTTTTAATAATGTAGTCTTGTCAGTTATAGACTTCCCTTATTTGTACTATGCTTTATACTATTTGTGTCAGTAAAAGTAATTTGTATTTTTTAAATAGAGTTAAAAATATATATTACCAGCTATTTTCAGACAACGTATGATTGATTCCGTTTAATTTTGTATTTATTTTTAACAATAAATTTTTCAATATAGGCTGATTCAGTTCAGACAAAGTCGTAGCTTTAATGCACTGTGTGAGTATACCAACTTCCAATTCTGCTACTTGTTTAACTATAGCTAAAAAAAATATAATACATTTGGTTATTTAGTAATTATTTACAACAATTCAAAATAGAGAACTAAAATGATTGTTTAATACATAAATCATTTGATTTAATCAAATAATGTTAAAATAAATTTAAATTAAGATTACAAATTGTATAGAAAGTGTTAGTATTATTATTTATTATTTACCATACATTCCTTGAGGATGATCTGGAATAACCACTATCACTATTTCTAATCGGCACACAAATTCTTTTGCTTCATTTAAAAACCTCCGAAAAACATCGGCGTAGTCATGAATAGCATGTTTTTCCAAAGCTATAGTGACCACAGGTTTCATTGGACTTATCATAAGATTATATTGTTCACCACTTCTTATCAGCATCTTTTCAAATTGTCTAGAATATAATACAATCGAAGAAATATTTTCTTAAACATAACAATTTTATGTTATATAATTAACTTACTTAATACTAGTAATACTAGTTTGTGCATCTAAATTGATCACGATCCATTCCGTAAGTTTTACAGCCTTGGAAAATTTATCAGCATTCCAAACACCAGCCTTGGGTATAATTTCCTGTAAAAAAATAATAATCATAAAATCAATTTATTATATTGAAGGTTCTTATTATTTTTATATAAAGTTTATACGTAGGCATTTTAATCAATCAATTTTAACTAGTTTATAGAATTATTATATATTCCAAAAAAATTGATAGGCAAGAGGGGAAAACGTGGAGGCAAACAGTATGTGGTCTTATAATATAATTTGTTATTTTAGTAAAATGATATTAAATAATTAAATAGTTATTTTAGGTCTAAAAAGAGTATTTTTTTATTAAAAATACTGATACAAATTTATTTGTATCTTGACTAAACTATATGTAAAGTAGAAAAGAAATGTTATAGGTAACTGATTTAATATTAAATGATATTTAATGATAAACCAAAACTTATTTTGATGCATATAATATGTATTATAAGATGATCATTTATCCTTTAATTTGTTTTATTGGGGACAAATTTCAGGTGCTCCTATATCAGTTCTAATAATTTTTTTCAAGTTTTCATAACAAAGAAAAAATGATTACTATTGTTTTGGATTTAACATTGAATTCTTTTTTAGAAAATAGATAATAGATATTATATTGATTACTTAATATACATGTTTTTATAAAACATTGAGATAAGAAAAAAATTTGTTTTGTTATTCAGAACTGATCTGGGGTGTCTGATTTTTTTTTCTTCAAAAATCAATATATATATACATGCATATAATATATGCACGTATATAAAACATGTCACAATGTAAACTGGATCATAAATTATTATTTGCAATTTACTTTGATTAAATATTCAATTAATTAAAATTGTAATTGTAATTTAAATTGTATTAGTAACACTAATACAAGAGTAAAATTTTACCAAGTCTAGAAAACCAAGTATAAGATTTGTTTTAATATTTCAAGTGGCTATGCAGTGCCATGCTAACTATCATTGGGGTCTCAGGGCAATAATATTTGACGCCCCTTCCTAGTCTGATATTATACATGTCATAAACATTTATCCTATATTTTTTACACATAATATTTATTATAAAACATATTAGGTATAATACATAGTCCTGTTTTACATTTAATAATAATCTAGTGTAAACTGAACATTATTTTTTACCCTATTTAATGCTAAAAAAAAAAAAAAAATTAATACCTAATAACAGTAAATAGTAAATTATTGACAACACTTATAATTTATTTGGTTATATTATATTTCTTATACAATAATTTCAAAATAAACAATTTATGAAGTAGTTATAATAAATGTCAAAAATATATAAAAACATTTATTATTAGAAATATTTAATAATAATAGTGATTTATAATAACTTGATAGAAATGTTTTTTCGAGCTCTGAGTTTTGTGAATTTGATAACTAACCTTGTTCAATTTATATTCTTTACAACTTCATATTTAATAGATATTGTTGATAATGCTGATGTTTTTCGTTTGCTAACAATGACTGCAAATAGTTTTTTCACTCTCTTTAAAACAGAAGGACCTTTCCCCACTTGCATTAAATCATGACATACAACTGAATATTTGTAATGCAATTTCAACATTAGGAAGAGTTGTGTTTAACAATGGATTATTGAGATATTTTAATATTCCTTGCATGTTTTTAATTTAAATTGGAAAATTTGATAAATATTTTTTTTTTTTAAATTTAATGATTTTGTCAACAATTCTACTTTTAAATTTTTAAACATTGAATGTCTGAATTGTTATAGTAACACCATATTATGTTATGTTACCTATAATAGTATATTTTCGAGAAAATATTTTAAAAATTTTTTATAGCGGTATTTTATATGCCTGGAACGAGTAGAACGAATTTTGTTGCTTAAATGAAGGCCAATTTCATTTTGTACAACAATTCAATTTTCAAAAAATGATAATATCACCAATAAAATTTCAATAGATGCCTAGCAAAAAAATTTATGTGTTTTGAATCTGAGACTTCTAGGTTATGATAAAGTGTAAAAATTCATTATTGTGCTAATGTATTTAGATCATGAGACGGTAATTTTCATTGTATTTAAATACACTAATACTAGTATTAGAAACAAACTAATATTATAATTTATAACCCCTTCGTTTAAGGGTTGTTATACTTAACATTGTTTAAAATAATGAAAGAATTATTTTTGTACATTTCCTCAGCCTTGCAGCATACAGCTCCTACGTTCTCCAACGTATTTTACGGTTTTGCTCATTTATTAAAAAAAAACTACAAAGAAAATCAAAACAATAAAAATGGTAGCGCAGCGGCGTGTTATAAATATTTGCTGGTTTACCTATAAATTTCTTTTTCGGAGTTTTCCCAATTATTTCGAAAATCAAGATAATTAGAAAATCAAAAAAATGATCGGATCAATGCATCAACTAGAAAAAACTACCTTTCAGAAAAAGTACTACACTTGACACTTTGGAACAAGTTTTCTAGTAGAAATGATACTTACAGACACAATAAAAAAAAAAATACACAATATAATAGTTAGTAAAACTAATAGATCCCTATCTAAATGCCAAATCTAAAATATCACAGATAGAGGAGGTGATCCCTTACTTTACATGTTTATCATGAGGCGGAGACGGATCTCGGAAACATATATTATAGATGGTGAAACTATGGATATTCATATCATTTATATTTTTGCCTCACTTACATATGAAAAATAGTTCCTACGCTTCTATTCCGGGAAGTATTTTATATAGATCAATTCATTTAATTAAAACAAATTTCATGCATAATATCTATAAACAACAAAGACAATCATTTTCCAAGTATTATTAACTGTATACGAATTAGAAATCAATTAAGATAAAACAAGATTTTTGGCCAAATTGTAAATTTTGTGTCTTTGTTTAACATATTGAATCAAAAATAAAATATGAAGGATATCATATTGAACTACAGTCCACAAATTTAATATGACATACTGCATTTTAAAAAGCAGTCAATAAATGCACGTGTTGCTTCCTTTAAACAATTAAAGCATACCTTATTTTGAAAATATGCTAAAGAAGGTTGATCCAAAACTCTTGCAGGAATGGTGGCCAATTTTTTGTGAACCTTGATATCAAATTTGTTTAAGACTTTTTCATCATTGTATTTGGTATCATTTTTAATATTGCTTCGCCCCTCATTAGGTGATTGAGCTGCATTTTTCACAAATTTTACTGATGGAAATTTTGTTATTTTTATATTTCGTGATTGTCCCTTTTTAACAGTGCATAACTATAACAAACAGCAACACATATTTCAATTGAAAAATAACTGTTTGAACATTTATCATTTATTATTCAACAAACTAAATACAATGAGTATTTATAATAATATAATAAGTACAGTGAGTTCTTAAAAGTGCTATGGTGTTGGAACAGTTAAATGATTAAGTTTAATATTAAACAATTTAAAATTAAAGAAAAAAAATAAGTTTCCCAAAAACAAATTATTCCTGAATTTAATACCCTCTTAATAATTCAAAATGGACGATTACACAATTTATTCAATGTCTGCTATATTAAATTACTTAAGAATTAAGAAATTTAATTAATTTAATTAAGAAATTAAAAACTAAGAATTAAACAATAATTAATAACAAACTCACAAAAAAGGGCTTTTACCAGGTCCAGCCAGCTTTTTTAGCCAACTGAGAGTTTTATATTAAACAAGTCCAATATGTGGATATAAAATTGTAAAAACGATCATGACTTAAAAATTGTTAATTAAATAAAGCCAAGCGAATCATGTAGATCATAATAAATGGCAAATGTGAAATTTGCTAGTGGGCCATAACAACAAGTTGATCTTAATACTAAGTATTGCATTTTTTTAAATATTTAATACAATGCAATATTTATTTGCTATTTTTACTAAAACAAGTATGAAAATGTATTGTTTCTAAAGTACTTTTATTTCATAAGAAAAAAACAATTCAATTTTAAAAGATCAGTTTTTTTTTCAATAGTATAATTAACTACCCTGTCGCAATAACGTTATTATTAAACAGTTCACTTACAAGTACAACATCCAAAACACTAATGTTATTAATAAATAGATAACTTATAAATAATAGGATTAAACGTATTATATTTACTTCAATTGGAATTGCTTTTTTTTTATTCAAAGCAACATTTAAACAAGGTAAATTTGGATACTTAATAGTATAGTCCTGTGTTATTTTATAAAATTGAAGAACTGTAACTTTTTTTATTTCAGACCTAAAAAAATAAAAATGTCATTATTCATTGTTTTCTTTTAAAAATTATTTAAATTAATACAATATAACACAGAAATTAATAATATACTATCTTTCCTCTCGTCCTCGCCCTAATAAAAATCATCAAAAAGGCTTTTGTTTCCCATGATTAAGGTGCAGATTTATATGTATTAAAAAAAATCAAATATGTAAATATATATGTAATAAAAAAAATCGCCTCATATGCAATAAAAAAAAAAGAAAATATGAAATTTAGAAAATTATAAAAACAACATCACTAACCAAAAAATTTAAAAATTGCTTTATAAATGACAAAACTGAATATATAAAAATTAAGACCCTTAAATTGAAACTATTATGAAATTGAACCATATTCATCTTGATAATGATAACAATGAGATATCGTAAACATACTCAAATTACTGTTAAAGTTAAATGATCTACAATTTGGTCGTAACACTTTTTTCTAGTGTATGGACACGTTTTTTCCTAGTAAACTTGCTCAGAGTTTTACGTATAGCAACTTTTCTGAAAGTTCAAGTTGTCTAGATCAGTGGTTCTCAACGTTTTGCTGTCGCGGACCACCTAGATGGCTTTTAAGAAAAACTACCACTTTGGGTTTTGATTCAGAAAATAAAAAAGTTATGCTTTATTATTTTTGTTTTGCCTGCAGATGTAATAAAAATTTAAAAGCATATATAAATATAAATAAAATATAACAATATCGTTGTATTAATTATAAAAAAAAATATATTAATGAACAATATTTAATGATAGCGTTGTACTTGTTTTGTATTGATAATTTTATCTAATCTTGTTTAATCTAATTAATAAATGAGAATGCTCAGATCCCATTTCCTCACATAAAATTGAAAATAATTTAGAATTTAAGGCATTACATTTTATAAAATTAATTATTTTAACTGTCTCAGTCAATACTTTATTCAAATCTGGTGGCATTTTTTTCGCAACTAAATGTTGTCTATGTATATTTCCTAATCTATAATTAATCGTTCCAATATAACACGGACCGGTTCCATTTTTATTGCGGACCAGTGTCGGTCCGCGAACCGGCAGTTGAGAACCACTGGTCTAGATGGTACATTGAAGAGGTCATTTTCTGATTTTCGACGCGATTTTCTAAATAAAAGCACTTAAAAGATAAAAGACCTTTTTTTACTGAACAATTAATTTCGTTTTTAATGATGCAGTTCGTTTTTTTTAATTTTCGAATTAGTTTTCAATATTATCGAGAAAAAACGTAGGAAGGTTAGGTTAAACAAAATTACGGCACTTCAAACTTTGTATTAATGAACTGCGATCCGAATCGTCTTTCATCAGCAAGGGTTTATCGTTGCTTATAGATATAAATGAAATAACCTTATGTATCCTACCTTTCCAATTTCTCACCTACAACAGTGGCCACTCTTATCCTCAATATCAGCTCTTTTTTTTAATAGTTAAACCTGCAAAAATGATCCGTGACTAATTTCATAAATTAACTACCTAACCCTGCCCTTAATCGGATGAAGCCATCAGTTATCTGATAGATATTTTAAATTATTGTTACAATCATACTATAAATAATATGTATATCACATATATCTCATGAACAAGGCTATAGGAATAAGGCTTTGCTAATTAAAACAGTATTTAAAAATATTCTGGTAAAATAGCTGGAAACCTATAGTTATTTTGATCTGTTTAGTTTAATATTAAGAATAATTGATTCATTAAAATAATACCAGTTTAAAATACTTACTCAAATTTTGCCGCACTATCAAGTAAACCATGAACTCTAAAAATACGTTTAGTATCAGGCTTGTTTGGAATCTGAAAAACAACTTTAAACCCTTTAATGTATTTTGTTAATCTATGTTGAGATATATAATCCAATTCTGTATCAAGACGACACTTTAATTGCCTTTTAATATAAGTGGTCAATAGTTGATGCTTGAGAAATTCTTTGTGGGTTTCTAAAAAATAAAATGAAATTGTATAAAACATAACATAAGAAAATACATGTAAGATAGTATTCTAAAAAAATAAAATACCAAAAAGGACGAAATAAGATAAATAAATGACAAAAGACGTTTTTTGTTCTATTTTTAATCTAGTTCATGAGTAAGTTATTTGTTTTTTGATTTTCTTTGTAGTTTTATTATTAATATAGTATAAGGAAAAAATTAAGAAAAAAATTTCGAACTAAAACTGACAAATTTACGATTTCATTATTTTAAATTTGTACGGCTTACATTTTCTACCATAAATATTGCTCAAATTGAAAAACATCAAGAGATCTACTTTATTGAATTTATAATCTCTAGTTGGTGAACCAGAATGTTGTTTTTTGATTTTCTTTGTAATTTTTTTTAAATAATTGATCAAAACCGAAAAAAAAATTACAGAAACTACAGGAAAATTTACAAAACTAAATCTTTTATTATTTTTAATTTTTTTTTTATGTATATGATTTAGTATACTATATTCTCAAAGACTAAATTTTAACAAAAAATTGCATATTTTAGGCATGGTAAAATTTTTAAAACATTTAATCCAGTTTTGAGTTAATTATAGACATTTTAATTATGCGAGTTTTGTACATAATTTGTAATTGGTAGGTACTCTGTGGATGCAATTATTAGACTAAACAGAAATACTTGAAAATTCAACAAGAGATTCTTTAAATGTTATCCTTTGTGGTAAAACAAATTGAGCTTTATGCAATTACGAAATTAACTTGAGAAAAAAATTGTGTGATCATACTTTTAGGTAGTGTAAATTTTTCAATTTTATTTCTTCATTATATTATATTATACTATATTAATCTTTTGACGATTTAAGAATATGTGATAGTGAGATCAGAATAAAGCTGACTGACTTAATTTCGAAGTCATAACTTATTGAAATTCTGATATTATGCGGATATTATATGTGTTTCTATAAATAACTCCATAAAGTCAATCTCATAGTATTTTTATCGTTGTCTATTGGTGGTTTATACCTGTTATGAACTCCAGAGATCGCGAGTTCAAATTCGAATTCCGAAAAATTATTTATTTTTCTTTTTCGTTTTTAGTTTTTCTGCCTGTGAACACCTTTTTACTAGAAAACTTACTTCGAAGTATAGAGTAATTTCCCTAGTTTGTGCATCGGAGAGGTCATTTTTCGATTTTCAAAAATGCTATCAAAGTAATCGGGAAAAATCCGAAAGGAAAGTATAAGTAAAACGGCAAATATTTATGGTGCGCCGCGGCACCGTCAATGTTAACACGATGTTTTCTACTAGAAATATTACCCCAATCCAAAAATATGGCTAGTGATCGATTTTCTTTATTACAATATATCGCTGAAAGAGAAAGTCATTTTTCGATATTTAAAAGAGTTTTTCTAATAATTGGGAAAAATCAAAAAATTAAAATTGATTATTATTTACGGCAACGTAGTGGTTCCCGGTTTTATTATTTTCATATGTTCAACTTATGTTTTCTACCAGAAATATTATTTCAATCGAAAAATGACAAGTGATCGATTTTGTTCTTATTGATATATAGCCACTGACTAAAATATTAGGTTTTTGATTTTTTAAGTATTTTTCATAATTATTGGGAAACTCCAAAAGGGCGGGATGTACGATTTTTTCCAAATTACTGCACGATTTTAATATTTTAAATGTTTACGAACATTGTTTTTACCATAAATATAGCTCCAATTGATAAACATAAGGAGATTTTAAAATTCAACAAAATGTTTAATCTAGTTGGTTACCAAGATAATTGGTTTTTGATTTTCTGTGTAGTTTTTTTAATAATTGAGCAAAACCGAAAAATATGTAGCAAGAACTGAACAATTTACGTAAATAATTCTTTCATTATTTTAAATTTTATTTTTTTAATGCAATTCAGTTTAAAATATTCATGGACTTAAAATTTTAACAGAAAATTTATATTTATTTTTTCTGGATGTGGTTCATTATGAGTCGTACTAAGAAGTTAAAAAAATAAAAAAAAAATTGAATAAAATTTAGTTTTTCCGTAAAAGTTTTAATATCAAATTTTGACAAAAATCGTAAACAAATTACATGCCTTTCAAAACTTGTACAAGCAAACTTGGTTCCAAATCGTTTTTCATTATCGCTATGATACCTGTAACCATGGTTACAAAAATAAGTTAAATAACTTTATACATCCCACCATCTCCACTATCCATCTACAACAGTGGCCACACATGCTCGTTTTTGGTTTGTTTCGAATTTAAAATAAAAATAACAAGGATATTGATGAAATCATGAAATATCAATATCCTAAGTAAAAATTTGTGTAAAGGGTAAGATTAAGAAATTCTATAATTTTATATCCATATAAAATTAATAGTATGTGTAGACTATATAGTAGGTATTATTAAATGTTATACAATTTAATTTGTATTTAACCATTATGGAAAATTGCGTATCGGATTTATTTTCAAAAGTCTGTCATAACTATTAGTTTGTTGTTAAAGATGTTTAAATTAAATTGAATGATTTTAATATCTGGTATTTTTACATAAAACTATGAGATTATTTTACTAGAATGGCATGTGATCAAGGTAAGCATTCCATTCCAGCTTAAAAAAAAAAAAGAAATAAAATTACTTTATCAATTTGATGGACAATATGTGTCAAGGTGTAACATAAGTTTTTTTTTATTTTGATATAATACACTAAATTTTCTGGTATATTAGTAATTTTAAAAAAAAATAATAATTAAGAAATAAAATTATATGGTGTTTAGATAAGCAATATATTGACAGAAGTTGGGTGACCATGATTTCACGCAACAGTTGGAAGCATTACATTGAGTAATTAAAAATAATTTTAGAAACTAATTTTCTGATACTGAACAGTCGATATATTAATATTTTTATTGTTTAACACGTTATAATAATGCTATTATAGAACACAGATACATGGATATTGTAAACTATAAAAGTACTATTCTAGGACAAAAAGTAATCCCCTCCTAAGTTCTTAACTTTCCAACATGTAGGCAGGGTAAATAATTACCCTACAATATACTATTTTAAAAGTATTTTTAAGTTTTAGTATTACTTCATCTACTTTAAAAAAGTATGTCCATATAATTTTTAAATTGGAATCCCACTTATTGAACATAGAATGAAAAATGAAAATGAAAAATATGTTTCACTACACTAATATCAGATTTATCATTCGTGTGTAAAACAGTTCAAAGTAAAAACCAAAGATAGAGTGAATGATAAATATTAAAAATTAGTGTTATACATATTAATATTTAGAGAAACATATTATCTGTTCTGGTTTGTGTTCAAAATAGAGAGTTTTAATTTGAAAATCTAAGGAAATACTTTATTAAAATGTATAGAATAGATGATACATATCAAATATATTAATAAAGGTAAAAAATATAAATAGTATTCAAAAAGTTCTTAAACGATTCCACAATGATTAAATAATAAAATATGGTCCTACACCGATCTTAATTGTACACAATACTGAACAAATAATATTACGACTAATATTAAAACTTTAAAAATCTTAATAATGCCAAAAATTAAGTCAACAGTAGGAAGCCGTTTACGTAGTTTTGTGAGTGAGTTTCGTGCCGATATTTTTTCTACGGCGTTATTATGCTTTTTTGTACATTTTGTAAGGTTGCAGTTGCCTCCTAAAAGAAATTTACAATTTAACAACACATCAGACGAGATAAGCATGCTCGTGGAATTCAACGAAAACTGAATTATTAGCAACTAATATTCCACTTGCTAAATTAAATAAAACAAATTTTAGAAATTTTTAGAAAAAAATATAAAATTTAAAATCCCAGACGAGTCTACATTGCGTAAAAATTATGTTGAAAAATGCTATTTAAATACAATACGAAATATTAGACACTATAAAGGCGATAAAAAAAAATTGGGTTAGTGTAGATGAAACGACAGATGTTGAAAGCCGTTATGTAGTAAATATCGTTATTGGAAAATTTAGGAAAAATATTTTTGTTATATTCTGATGTCTTGGAAATTACAAATCATTCAACCATTGCAAAAGCGTTCGATAAAGCCATAAAGAATAATAAAGGTAAACGTATACAATTGTTTAGTATTTTGTTCTTAGTAGTTAGTAATATTATTATTAATAGTATTATGTTATATTTACCATCTACGGTTAAATAGGGTTTCCAACCTATAGCATTATTTTCGAAAAATTCTTTCCAGAGTTCCGTTTTGTTGCCCAAATCAACTGGTCTAATACGCTCTATGGGAAAAAGTGAACTACCAACAGTAAAAAACCTGAAATACAAATTGTTTCCATTTTAAAATTTCAATACAAAAAATTTAATTAATGATAGCAAATTTTTTTTTTTTTAAAACTAATTAATTTTTTTAAATTAATAAAATTAATAGTTATATATTATGTTAAAAAAATATAATATTTATACTATTATGATAAACTACAACTAAATGTATTCACTTAATACAGTAACGATTCAAATACCATATTGTATTATATCCCAGTGGAAGTGTGGGTTAAGCATATTGAGTGGATGAATAAGAATGCGTCAGTAGTAGTTATAGTAGTAATAGTAATAATAATGGGAATATTACAATATTACCGCGAGCGATACACAGAGCGTGCCAAAACAACCGTTCATACGGAGTGACCCAGCGAACCCAGCACTGGCCAAGGCAAGCCTTTGGGCAAGGCACCTGGGCCTAACAGAGTACCAGACACAGTAGTTAGGGCTGTTAGCTTGAAAAGACCGACTGAGGTTGCAGGCATCTTCAACAGTTGCCTTTGCTACGGTTAATTTCCGCTCAGCTGGAAGGAAGCCGGACTTAGTCCTAATTAGGAAGATAGGGAAACCTTTGAAACTTCCATCGTCCTACTGGCCGCTGAGTTTGAACAACCAGAAATATGTTTGAACGGGTCATTAAGCGTCATCTATCAACTCATATTGTTCGGATCCCGGAGAGACTTGCAATAACCAATACAGCTTCCGCAGGAGCCGGTCTACTATAGATACGATCGAAAGAGTGCTTATGGTGGTAAACTAGAATAAGGGTAACCCTTGGTGGCGTAAGGCGCTATGCGCATTGGTTTCGGTTGACGTGGTCAACACGTTCAATTTAACACCCTGGCATAAGATTGGGAAAACGTTGGTGTGGAAAAACATACCACCATACTTAATGCGTCTACTTAGGAGCTATTTTCAGAATAGGACCCTCCGCACGAACGCTGGGAACATTAGCGTCACAATTAGGATAGGTCCTTGACCCTCTCTTTTGTAACGTTTTTTACGACGGCCTTCTTTAACTGCAGCTTCCCAAGGTACTGAGATGGTAGCAGATGACGTGGCGCTCGTTGGTATACGGAAGACGGTTGAATTGCTAGAGGATGCGATAAACATCTCGATTGGCATGGTATGTTGAATGGATAGAATAACCTTAGGATTTCTGTCAACAAGACAATTGTGATGATGCTGATGTTTAAAAAAAGCTTCATAGTCGGCCGCAATTTGTGCTCTTCGACGAGATTCTAGAGCTCAAGGGCCACACGATATATTTGGGCGTCGAGCTCAACTTTAGATTAGGATTTAATCAACATATTATGATGATGTGCGATAAAGCTACAAAGATCGCGTGGTGCTATTGATCTAGCAGTTGTATACAATGTCCCACAAAGATATTACCAAGATGAAGACTATCAAATTGTTTTTTTTTTTTATTTACAGGGACAAGGATTATAAATAGTTATATATTAATTAAATTTGTATGTTTAAGTGAAAATTTAAAAATACAACAATTATTTTATTATTTTCAAAAGATTTGTAGATTTTATCGAAGTTCTTTTATAGTTTTATAGATTTTATTCTTCTTATTATTGTAATTAATTTCATGATTTTTAAAAAAAAAATTTTTAGTTCATATAAAATTAGTGTTGAGCCAATTAGACTTCAGCAATACTAATTATAGTCACTTTAGGAAGTAAACAAATGAGATTACATAGCTGCATGATTAGGAATTAGATAAGATAAAACTAATTAGTTATACAGTATATTTTTCTGAATTAAAAAGTGTTTAAAAATCATTAAGTAATTGAAATTATTTCAGAAAATATCATAATGAGGATATCTTAGTGGGAAACTATGTATAATAAGAAAATTTAATTTTAAAATTTCTATTTAACAAAAATTCATATTTTCAGATTGTATACTACATAGTATATAATGACAATATTTAGAATTTACTAACCTTAATGAAAATGTTTTCAAAATAATATCCAATGCTAGAGGAGCTTCACAAGGAGGACAAAAAGATGATCCATTTTTAAGATATTCTTTAATCACACCCATATTTATTTGATTATGAATTGATGTGACTATGGTGAAGCTTATAGATTTACCAGTTTCATTGTTCAGAACAGTTATCATGTCACTTCTCTGTAAATAATAATTAGTTAATAAAAATTGGTGAATGAATAAATCAAATGTATTTCATAAATGAAACTAGAAATAATATAGTTAAAGATAATGTAAATACCTATTTTTATTGTACAAAACATTGACAATAAGTTATCAATTAAGATTATTCAAAGTAAGATTATATTCGTAGAATAAAAAATAGTAATATTAATACAATAAATATGTTTATTACCCCTGTCAATTCTGTAGTAGTATACATATTTCTTATTCCATCAAATGCATAATATATGCCACAATAATGTTTATCAACAAATTCTTTCAATGCAGTTCTATAAATAAGTACAAATAATTAGATCAAATGATTTATTATAATATGTTTTAATCAAAAAGAAATTAATAAATAAAAATAAAAAGTTATACTAAACACCTATCAAGTTACCTAAGAAGTCGCTTGGGAATTTCTGGAGTAAATTTACAATCAATATGATAAACCGTTTTTTTGAATAATTCCTCAAAGTTCAGAGTAAAATAGTTCACTTCTAATTCAGTTTGAATTTCAGTTTGACGTCTTAACTTACCAACAATTCCTGGAATTGTAACTGGAATAACTAATCTGGCTTTTAAAATGTCTATTTGTTGATCAATTTATTTGTTAGCAACTTAAAATTACATCAATTGCTTAAATAAAGAAATCTGAATTTTTTAATTTTCAAAAACAAAAAAAAAAAAGTTTTAAATACTTGGTTCCATTTGAAATTGATCCAGGATTATTGGTTTTGAAGAAACCGCTTCTTCACCTACAATATAATTATGTTTAAATGAATACTTTTTTTTAGTATGTTTAATAAATAAATTCAATATTGTGATTTGAATTGCAGTAGTATCACATTTCCTCAACTAATGCAAAGTAAAGTAAGATTGTTTTTTTTAAATGTAGCACCTATATTCTGTATATGTGCCAAAGAGAAATTGAACAATGCTAAAGTATTATTAAATCCACATCTATCCACCTATGTTAACATTTGTATTTCTTTATAAACCATAGAGATTTGGCTGACACAGAAACTTAATCTTATTAAATTAAATTATTTTTATTTGTCAATTATTTTCCTTACCTTCAGGTAGTTTTTGTAAGCCATCAAGAACCTTAGTTTGCTCTGAATCTTTTGGCTGCTGTTGTTTCTGTTGTGCTGTATTTTGAGAAGATATTCCAAGATAATCACTTCCATCACCTATTTGATGTATTTAATAAGTATAATAAACACAAAATAATATGCAATTTTATCTTACATTTAAATAGAACAGTAGACCATTCATGGTCTACTATCATAAGATATATCAGATAGTTAATTTATTTTTTAGTTGTGATTCAAAATTGAAAAAAATATGTTTGTGTAATTAATTTTTTCTTTATTAAATTCAGAATTTACAAATCACTTTTTGTATTATAAAAAAAATGTGCCAATTATGGAATAGGTACCAATTTACCTAGTTAGTTTTTATTCATAATAACTTTGTAACTTAACTAGTTTAATTGAATGTTGAAAATATTCTAATCTAACTTATAAGAAATAAAAGGAAACTAGTTATTTTTTTTTTTGTTTTTCTAACCACTTTTTTCATAATCATAACGCATTATGGACATAAAGCCTATAGATTATAATATGTAATATCATGTTCCTGGCCTATTTGTATAATAAAACTATATAATATAACTAATATATACAATATAGGTAATTTTATTCTATATTATATTAAAACCATTATACCATACATTCATATTTCTTCATGAATGTTTTTATTTATATTATTATTATTGTTATGTAGAAAAATATAGTGTACTACTATTTGTATAATTCTTATTTTGTTAAACTTTCTATGTTCTGATAACTGATATTTCAATTCAATTCCAAGAAATTAAAGTGATTACCTACCTACTTGAAACATTTGACCAGTTCAAGTTAATTTTCCAATCATCACTAATAATTTAAGTTAGGTATTTACTTTATAATCAATTAACATAATGCTTTATATTTTAACTATTTTTTAAATTTATATTTCAAACTAAAAAGAAAAAAACTTAATTCTAACTTTTATTGTAATTTAAGTTACTATTTTCACCTAACTAACTTCTTACTAATTAACTGAGAAATTTGTAAAATTTTGAAAACTGACTTATATCTAACTTAGTTAAGTTTTTATATTAAATTAATCTAACTTGGACTAGTTAAAAAAAATTACTAACTTGCCAAAGCTACCCGTGGCTAATAATTATAAAATATATTTATTTCAATGGACAGTGAAATATTTCAGTCATCAAAATAGGTATGTTAGATTAACTATTCCTAATATTATCTATAGTATTTTAAACACTTCTTAATGTAATAAACAGATATCATTACAAGATAGTATTATTTTCTATAATACTGTCATAGATTAACTAATGGAATGTGAGATTATATTAAAACTAATTATATCTGAATGATTTGTTAAAAAAAATTGAATCATTTAGCATTAAAAATTTAATACTAATTTCTTTTAGCTGTTTTGTTGATTGGTAATCAATAGAGCTAGGATATTGGTGGCTTCAGCATTTTTTTTTTTTAAGTGCTATACAATTCAAACCAAAACCTAAATTTGTTTCGTGATATAGCAATTTATAATATGTAATTTTTATTTTGCATTTTTTTGCATTTCTTGTGTTTAACGCATTTTATTGCATTTTTAAGGTCATTTTTATGTAATATTACAAATATTACGTTCATTTCTTTTGACTTTAACTAATTTTTGTTTATTTTAAGCTTTTTTAATATGTGTTGTAAAGGTAATCCCAATTGGTACCTATAAGGAATTACCTACTCCAGTCCATTGATATTGAAAAAGTAATATAATTAATTGTCGATTTATCTTATCGGATATAGACCTATATAGTAGCTTCCTTAGTGAATACGACACGTACCTATATGGTCCTACACCGATCTTAACTGTACACAATACTGAACAAATAATATTACGACTAATATTAAAACTTTAAAAATCTTAATAATGCCAAAAATTAAGTCAACAGTAGGAAGCCGTTTACGTAGTTTTGTGAGTGAGTTTCGTGCCGATATTTTTTCTACGGCGTTATTATGCTTTTTTGTACATTTTGTAAGGTTGCAGTTGCCTCCTAAAAGAAATTTACAATTTAACAACACATCAGACGAGATAAGCATGCTCGTGGAATTCAACGAAAANAATATTCCACTTGCTAAATTAAATAAAACAAATTTTAGAAATTTTTAGAAAAAAATATAAAATTTAAAATCCCAGACGAGTCTACATTGCGTAAAAATTATGTTGAAAAATGCTATTTAAATACAATACGAAATATTAGACACTATAAAGGCGATAAAAAAAAATTGGGTTAGTGTAGATGAAACGACAGATGTTGAAAGCCGTTATGTAGTAAATATCGTTATTGGAAAATTCAGGAAAAATATTTTTGTTATATTCTGATGTCTTGGAAATTACAAATCATTCAACCATTGCAAAAGCGTTCGATAAAGCCATGTTTACATTATGGCCTGAAGGAATAAAACACGATAATGTTCTTATTTTTGTATTTGATGCTGCCCCATATATGGTGAAAGCAGGAAGATCTATTTGCACTCTGTATTCAAAGATGGTGCACGTGACCTGTGTGGCGCATGCAATTCATAGAGTTGTGGAAGAAATAAGTTCAAACTTGCAAGATGTCAATAAACTTATAAGTTGCTTAAAAAAAACATTTTTAAAATCACCATATCGTACACAAATGTTTAAAACTCTTGCTCCAGGAATTCGATTGCAACCTGAACCCGTAATCACTCAATGGGGAACCTGTCTAAATGCTGTAAATTACTATTGTGAGCATTTTTCTTATGTAAAAAAAGTTGTAATTGAATTAAACCGTGATGATTTGACTACTACAAAAAAAACCAAAGGAACTTATGTCTAAAACAAGTTTAGAGGCTAATCTAATTTTGGTTTCATTCCTTCAGAAATAAAAAAGCTGGAGGCTTCTGAAATCTTATTATCAGAATCTATTAATAAAATAAAACAAATTGAGACTAAATTGTCCCTTGCTCCTAATGTAATCGAAGAAACAATATCAAACAAACTGAAAAATGTTTTGATGAAAAATAATGGGTTCAAAGTTTTAAAAAATACATCTTCTATTCTGGACGGTGAAAATACAACAAGTAGAGATGATATTCCGGAAGACCTAACTTAAATTGTATGGTTCATTTCAAATATGCCCCGTTTCTTCTGTGGATGTTGAACGAAGTTTTTCTTCATATAAAAACATTTTATCTGACCTCTGTCGCAGCTTCCTGGTTAAAAATCTTAAGAATCATCTAATTGTGCAATGCAATAATATGTGTACAGGTAAAAAAAAAAATATGATATGTTTTTCATTAAATTATTTTAATTTATGATTTTATTGATTTTTCAGAATAATTTAACCAGGAAGTGGTTATATTCACAAGTCAAATTTAAACCTATTTTGTTCATAATTATTAATTAATATTTTAAAAATAAATAAGTTTTTATGTCATTTTTGCATTTTTTTAATGTATTTTTGTGTATTTTTTAGGTCATTAAAATCCTAGCTCTAGTAATCAACTTAAAATTACATAAAATCTAATAAATAAATTAAACCCAATTTTTTTAATTTTCAAGTCCAAAAAAAGATTATATACTTGGTTGGATTTGAATTTAATCCAGGATTTTGAGTTTTACAAATAAAACTTCTTCACCTACAATATAAATGTGTTCAAACGAATATTATTTTTTAGTCTGTTAAATAAATAGATAAATGCAATTTTGTGAATTAATTTGTAGTAATATCAGATTTCCTGAACTTATACTAAGCAGTTAGATTATTTTATTTTTAAATTTATGTACCCATATTCTATACACATGCAACAGAGAAATTTAAAAATGCTGCTCACATTTGTATATCTTAATGTTCCATAGATTTGGCTCATACAGACACTTACTCATATTAAATTAAATTATTTTTATTTGTCATTTTTTCCCCTTAAATTCAGAATTTACTAATCAATTTTTATATTACAAAAGATAATGTGTCAATTATGGAATAGGTACTTAATATGAAATACTTATAGTTAACTAGGGTATTTGTTGATTATCAACTCATTTATATACTTCATTTTGTTATATTGTATTAATAATATGTTATGATGGCTAAGAAGGCTACCCATGGCTTGATATACCATTAAATATTTTATTGTCATATATTTAAAAACTTATTATCAATATGACCTAATAATTATAAAATATATTTATTTCAATGGACAGTGAAATATTTCAGTCATCAAACTAGGTATGTTAGATTAACTACTCATAATATTGTCTATAGTATTTTAAACACTTCTAAATGTAATAAACAGATATCATTACAAGATAGTATTATTTTCCATAATACTGTCATAGATTAACTAATGGAATGTGAGATTATATTAAAACTAATTGTATCTGAATGATTTGTTTTAAACAGGTTTAGCATTTAGTATTAATAATTTAACTTTTAAGTTGATTTACAATGAACAAAGAAAAAAGCGTCATACATGGGTAATTGTTATTGTATAATAAGTATGAATATATATATGTGGAATGTAATAAAATTTGATTCTTTAAGGATAGTTTTTAGGTAACAGAAAACAATGTCAAAATATCAAAAAATTTTCTGAATAAATATTTTATAAGGCATTTTTTGCGTGTTATCTAAAGTACACCAAAATATACAGAATTATGTATGTTTAAATAGGTAATTTTTGAAATTAAATTTGTATTATAGTAGTATAATACTTACACTTCTTCTTGTTTTTCTCTTCGGAATCATCTAGAATATAACAATACAATTAAATTAAAAATCAAATGTATCAAACCAAATATTTCAGAGTTCCAAATACAATATAATATATACCTTGTTGTCTTGCATTAATAGCAGAATTGTTTTTCATTTTGAACAGAATGACGTATTAAAAAAATACTGTTGAAAAAAAGGGGAAACGACAGCAAAAGAGAATATGTGGTACTGTGGTAATGGCCTCGTTTTGACAATCGATTCGATTCTTACTCTGCCTTCGCTGCAAAAGCAGTGTCGCCAAATTAAATTTGAATAAATCTCCGAATTAATTTTTAATTGTCACGTAATTTAACATGCTAATACGGGATCTTTACTTGGCGGGATTAGTTTTTCCGAAAATTTATTAAGTCTTATATATTTAATTTATTTAATATTTAGATGTTTCATATGCAAGTGTAAGTTATTTATTTAGAATTCCTGCACAATAATCGCGGAATTGTTTCAGAAGTTTGTTAAGTACTAAGCAATGTACTTCAAGAAAAAGATTTTTAAACGTAATTTGTTAAGAAATATATATATATATAATATACTTAACTAGGTAGCTATCTATAGTTTAGCACAGTTCTATCTGATTATTAATTTAACATCAAACATTAATATGTTATTATTAACATAAATATTAATAAAAAAGGCAGGACAAAATAATACTTAAATATTATTATTATTTACTTATCGATAGTATTGGATATAACATTTAGCGATGGATCACTATTTTCTTTTGAAAAAAAAAATATTTCGATTGAACATTGACCGCTAGAGTGTTGTACTATAAAAAAAAACTGCAAAACCGTAAGGGGACAAAGTGGGGTAAACGGAGCCTAGTAACGTTCCCTGCCGTCAGTCTACATGCGCGAAACGGGTTAAATCTCTCGTGGCGCGGAGCGTAGTGCCATGGCAACGCTTCTCGTTTGCACATCCGAATTGCGGAGCTCCGCGGTTTTGTCCCACTCCATCATCTAGTCGCCGCCGTAAATTCCCCCACTCGCTACGCGCGACCGGCGGCTAATATCCCGGCCGCCGCCACCGCCGGTGGTTCGCGTACACCGGCTCAAGTAACACATAACGAAAAAAATAATACCTGGCGACCGGGGCACCTATTATGCATTCAACAACAATGCTAAAAAATATGTATGTAACATCAACATTTTATTTATGCATTTATTTATGTACACCAACAAAAATGAATAATATAACAAAATAACAAAACATAACAAAATATACTTAATAATATCAATTTAGAGAAAAATTACAAATTCAAAATGCAAAAAAAATTTAAATGATAACGAAAAAAATCAAAATAGTTGAAATACAAAAAAATCAATCAGAGCCGCAATCGGAAGAACTTGTATCACCTGTTCCCATCATTAGAACATGGCGTTGTTCTTCTTCGGGTAGTGTGCACGCACGCACACGTAAAATTACGGGCAAAATATTATGGTACGCGCTGTATACAAACACTGACACGGTGTTGCGAGGACGGCGGCGGGCCAGCGTTCGGGAATGTTTGGTGGTGGGAATGCGCGAGATCGGACGAATTTTGATCGCCGCCCAGAAGCCTTTTTTTACGGTGGCGCACTAGTGTAGTCGCAAGAATTACTAGCGATACCCGTACGGAAACTGCGCCCCTCGGAATATCTATCCCATCTCAAACCGCGATCTACTAAATAAGATAATCGATGAAAATCCAACTACGACGAGCGACAGAGACAAGAACTTCGCCAAAACCAATGGAATTTTCGAAGAAACAGAAGACGACGGCGGCGAGTGTCCTCACCGCGATCAATTTCAATAGGTTTCCAATACGTTTCCACTTGTCCGGTCCGCCGTAGTCACAAAACGAACGACTGGGCGTTCGCCCGGAGTTCAATCGGCCGCTAAACGCGCGCGTATCGTCCAGTACAACGGCGTGGAAAACGGTGAAATTTAACGTTTAAAAAAACGACACGGCGAACGCGGCCGGTCCGAGCGTGTTCCGACGGCCGGTGGGCGCAAAATCGTTTTCGGTAAAAAATAAGTCGTCTCTCGAGCCCCGCGCTTGTTGAGCCGGCGCTACGCGACGCGTCCAACGCCCCCGACCGTCGGCCACGCGACAGTCGGACGCGTCGTATAGTCGTGGTCCGTACGGCGATCGGCAAATGTCCGTGTCCGACGTTGGCGTTTTCGACCCGCGTCAAAGGTGTACGCAACGTTGGTAACCGAGTCCGCAACCGGCATCTGGTACACGGCCACACGGTGCGACGTGTTTAGTCGCGTGTCCAGTCCCGAGACGTTTATTTCGCCACGTTTTGTTCCTTTGGTATTTACAAGTCTTTATTTTTTTTATTTTTTTTTTTATAAGTGTTTACTCTTTTTTACTTTTATTCGGTGACCGGTAAGTAAAAAAAAAATCGTCGATTAAAATATATATATATATTCATGAGTAAATAAATACCCTATATTTCTACAGTTGTATCATTACCGTATAAAAAAAAAAAAAATGGCTCGGAATAATGAATTAACGCTCGAATTCCCGGAAGTGTACGAGAAACATCCGTAATGATATACGCAACATGGTATACATCATAATTTTAATCAACTAATTATATCGTAATTTAATATTATCTACACTGCGTTTTATTATAGTGGACGCCGCTTTATTTCATCAGTTTATAAGTCAATTCAGATCAATACAAAATAGTACGTATTACAATTAAATATCTCATATAACAACAAGGCACGGCAACGAGAACCGGACAAACACCACTCCACTATTTTCCCCTTTGTTTCTCATAAAAGACCCCTCGATTCATTCGGCCACCGGATCCCGCCTTGGCCACTCGTCATCTCTCTCCCCTTCTCCCGCGAGTGCGCGTGATCCCGGCCTCTAACATTCCGATATCATCGTTTTTGACTAAATCGAGTGTTTATTTTATCATTCCAGCCACCCATCCTCATCAACATCATAAATAATTATAATTATACGTGTATTCAAACTCGACATTGTTGCCGGGGACGCTCCGTTCAGGATCGGTAAGTACATTATTGTTACCCTTCATAGTTTATATTTTTTTTTTTCAATAAACTCGCTAAAAATAACATAATATCATATTATTTTTATTTCGTATACAGACATTGCAATGTATTCAACAAAATAATGTAAACTATAATTAATATTATAAGAAAGACATCAACATGAAAAAAAAAAAAACGAATGTGCCTCCTGCTGTTGCACATCGTCGCTGTTTCCGCGAGGTGCTTAAAATCTAAAATAATAATAATAATAGTAATAATAATAATAATAATAATAATAATTTTAGATTTGGCCCCGCAATGGTGTGTTTGATTTTCCGTCTGGACGTTTCGTACATTGTATTGTACCCGGCGAAGAGATTCGCCGCGTTCGCAGATAAACCTATACGTATACATGTGTACACCTAATACGATGTACAATAAACTAGATTGGCGATATCCCATTGTATACCGCTCGTGTAAAACCGTAGAGACGATTTCGAACTGCGTTTTTAATATCGTATTGTAATAATAAGCGGATCGCGGTAATTATATTATATAATAATGTATGCGACATTATTGTATATTATTGTATACATCCGCGGTATAGTTTGCGCGCCGTTTGACCTACGGGCGACGCGCTTCCGATACGGCCAACAAAGAGGCTTCGGCGCCAATCCAGTTTATTGTATACTACAATAATATACTACGTAGGCGTTTATCTGCGGCTGCGGCGCACACGTCGAAATTTCGTATTGTCGATGGCACCGCCGTCAACCGTCGTCGGGCCGAATCGGATGGGGTGCGTGATCGGGTACGCGGGAAAACGTTTTCATGCCGAATTTGCACGCCGCGCCGAACGGGAACTTGACGTTTAGCCACACGGAGAACATCATGTTGTAGTTCAACAGCGGCCGGAACACGAACGCCAACCACCGTCTGGTGAGCAGCACGTCGTGCGTGTACGCCTGGATGTTGTACATCCACCGGCTGTACGTGTTGGCCAGCGGTGTCCCGGTGTCCGGCAGGCCGCAGATCCGCCGCGTGAACGTCATGAACGCGTCCACGTCCAACATGGGCGATATGGGCTTTATGCCCTCGATCAGGGTGACCACCATGCGGTGGAACTCGGCCGGCGGGTCCATCAGGGCCGGCACGTAAACGTCCTTGAGGATTATATCGCACGTGCTCCGGACCTCCTCCAACGTGCCCTGGCACAGGTTGTACCTGAAACAGACCGAAAACCCGCGAATTTGTTTAGTTACTCGCGAACGTATTGTGTTTTCTTATACGGACAAATTTTGATATCCGGATAATTTCCCCGCGAAAATCTGTCGTGCGAACTATTTTCGGCGAACAGACGACGTGATACCGTTTTTAACCGAACAAACTATAAGCGATGGTAAATAACGCGTTCATATTGTGTGAATTGGACATGAACGAGTTCAGTTTTCAACGAATAAACTTGAACGCGAACTAAATTCGTATTGATTATATGAACTTGGACGTTTCTGGTTAGTTCGTTGACAAATAAACTATCGTAGACCATAATTATATTTATAACGTTTAATTTATGCAATACGCTGGAAAAGAAACCCGAGAGACTTTAAAGTTCTCGCAAAAGAGCGATTTTTTATTACCAAAGAAAAAAACCTCGCGTACAAATAAAATATTGTTTTATCAACGGTTCCGAAATCATTCGTTCATTCTATCTTGGATCTACTACGAGCCGTTGGTCGAATTTACATCATATTAAAATTAATTGCTCAACGGCACGGTCTTTACACAAGATGACATTTTGTGGATTTTACTGGGTTTAGAATACATTGATTCGAATATTCGCAAGATACCTAACTATTAAATTGCCAAACACCTGGTTAGGTACCCAGTAGTTATTCGTCAAAATGGAAATAGGAAAATGTTCGCCAAAAAGTGTGTACACTATACACACCGATAAAACATGATGCATATTAAATGTGATAACAAGGGCGCCCGCAGGGGGATACCGGTGGGGGTCATGCCCCCCCCCTCGCTATTTTATTTATTATTAAATATTAATTGTTTTATTACTTGTATGGTTTAAATATTTAAGCCATGATTACTTGTAAGTTGTAAAAAAATTCTTATACTTTTGACTTTGCCCACCTCCCAGTTTATATTTTTGCGGGCGCCCTTGTGTGATAACAAGTAATCGAAAAACAACTAAACACCACACGTAAGCATTTACCAAATCCGGGAAACAGTGCATTCGTGTAACACTTCGTGTTGTAATTATCAGTAAAAAATTTGAGCATTTTCCTAATCAAAAATGTGTTGATTAATATTAATCAATGTACATTACTCACTTATCTTGAATTCCAATGAAATAACCAATAGTCCGCCAAAAATGCACGATGGCCATCTCGTCTTCGTCGGTGCCTTCGATAGCTAATTCTTTTTTTTTTAACAAAATTAAACCCATGAATCCGAACTGTGTTAACACCATGTCTTTTTGGGTTACTCGAAGACCAAGGCCAGATTTGTCGGATATTCGACTTGCAGCACAATGGAGACCGTGTACAATGGTCACCGACTTTTGACATCTATATAATAGTAAACATCGAATCGTTATCACATTATCTGGGTATAACTATCGCATGTGCAACAAGCGGAGGAACTTATCTCCCCCCAAATATATATATAATTGTATTTTTTATTTTTAGAATTATTACAATGTATACATCTATATATTATATATGTTAATTAAAACAGATGTATCACTTTTCGTCCGTACAACTGACAGATTTATGAGGGGGAAGGGGAGGTCCAAGAGGTCTGGACCCCCCAGACACTAATATAATTTCAACAAAATGTCGTCTAAAAATAGAGACATCTATTAATAAATATTTTTAAAATAAATTTGCTTTTTCGTGACCCCTTTCAGAAAAATGTTGAAAATCTACCACTGGTCCATACATTGTGTTGAAATTTTTAAAAATGGAGGTTAGGTATTTTTAACGATTCATACATTTTTTTTTTATTTGTAAGTGATTTGTTTGATATGGCATTTTTACATGTACATGTGACCCGTCACTTTGTGATCCCATATAATATAAAACTTCGTATTCCTATTGATGATCCAGTTTAAGAATACGACAACTCAAAATATGATTTTTTTCGGGGGAGTGATTTAAAAATGTAACGAATATTTAGTCAAATATAAAACATAAAACAAATTAAGTATGGACAAAATTCTTAGTATAACCTAACCTAACCTGGCCTCACTAATACTACCTACAAATAAATCCATGAACTAATTTCAATACGTCTAATTGATCCACTTTAGAACTGGATATATGTTTATCCAAATTTGTTATTAGAAAACGATTTAACGGCTCTTTAACAGCCCTCAGTAATTTGACTGATTTTTATTGCGTTTCGGAACTGAAATTGTTTTTAAAAAGTGAAAAAAATGGTGTAGTTAACCCGTTTTTGATTATTTTCGAATTGTTGTATTCTTGAACTGGATAGTCGATATTATACAACAGTCAGAGTTGGGCAGTATCACAGAATATATATTGTATATTAAATGCACAATAATTTTTGTGTACAAAGTATTTGAATAATAAGTTTTTTTTTTAAAAGACAAGCGATAATTTATCGGTATAAATTACATATAATAAACATAATATAAATGTATATAATTTATACAGAGTGATCAATACTCGACACTCAATATCTCGGAAATTAATAACTTTTTTCGGAATTTGTTTTTTAAAATATTTAAGAAACAAGCAACTCTAAAATAATAATGTTAAATCACCGTTATTTTGTTTCAACCATATTATTTTCGGGGGTGAAATCACTACTTGATTTTCGAATAGCAACCTACATTGAAAATTTCATAAATCGGATGAGGTTTTAGTTTAAATATATTTTGGTGTTGAAATTTGTCATTTCCGTCAAGCTGTTGACGAGATGTTGTAGACTTTTAAAATTGTCGTTTTGTAGGTATATAGAGGAAGAACAGTGGAACACTACTCAAACGCCGCGCGCTACATTACCACAAAATGGCACACAACAGAATTATCCCAAAAAAACGTTTAAGCGTCAACAGGTTAATTAAAACTAGAAATGTCTCCATCAATATTAATTTACACTAAAAAGTTTTCTATTAATTGAATTTGTAATATAGATTGCCGTTTGAAAATCAAAACTAAGTAGTGGTTTTGCTTATAAAAATAAGGGCATTCATTTGATTAATATTTATTTTATCGTAGCACTTTAGAGCCACTTGTATTTAAAACTACCCGCCAAAAAAAAGTTAATACTTTCTAAAATAATGTACTTTTTATACTACACTGTATTGCCCGACCCAAACTTGAAAGCTAACCGAAATTTATTACTGAAACCAATACTCCGTCTATTTATGGAATTGTTTAGGTTCTCGTTTGAATTTCAAAAGTTGATCTCTAACACCTCCCCCCCCAAAAAAAAAAAAAATAAAATAAAATTATTTTAAATGTTTATGTATCGAAAAATGGTTGTATTGTACATTTTTCTCTATTTTGAATATTTACATGATAAAATAGCTGTAAAATAAATGTTTAATCACCCTGTATAGACAATGTGATTCATTTGGCGTAAAACACTCATTTTTGTTTGTTACATTTTCCAAACAAATTTTTTCGAAAAAGTCAATACTTTGCGAAACAGTGAGTGTTTTACGTTAAAATTAATCACCGTGTATATACATGATGTGTATATATATGTAAATGGATTATTTGAATTTTAGAATCTTCTATATTATACGGTATGTCACCCTATATAAATGCTATTACAATAATATAATTAGAACATTAAAATGCATGTTTACTTACTTTGAATCGACTTTTTTCAGATCATATTTATACCACCTCAGCATATGTCTAATTGTATCGAGATATCTCCTAAAAGCCGTGTACGGTTCGGAGGATTTATTCGTGAGTATTAATACATCCAATATTGTCGGTATTGTCAATACCAATATCAACCCGATTAAATTCGCCACGAAAACTGCATAGAAATTGGAATGAAAATATTCTTTTCCCCTGAAAAATAAATAGAAAATACATGTATTGTATAGGTATGTGTATACGAATTTCCAGTTGTACAATTATGGGGCTAAACCATCGCCTCTGAGAAGGTTTTTTTACGAATCCTATACGTAATACGTATTTTCATAATTTGTATTGCAAATTCAGACACTTCTATGTAATTTTTATTACGTTTACGTCGAGCACTTCACATATTATATTTAGTAATTTACTTAGTAACCCAAAAACCGTTTTTTTTTTTTTTTTTTTTTTTTTTTTTTAATCGGTTAAGTTTAGTTAGGTCAATGTACATTTTACATATTTTGTTTTAGATGAGCTACACTTGCGTATAATCAGGGACTAAAACCTCTACGATTTTAAGGGTTTCGGTTCTTAAAAATACAGAATTTCGGTTTCGGCTTTTAAAAAAAAAATATTAATGGTTCCGGTTTGTGATTTTTGAAAAGTTTCAACCTTTAACCGATTTTTTCGGTACGGTCTTTTAAGGTGCTAGTCAACCATGAATGAAACACTTTTATCAGCTCACTTAGCTTATAACAGAGTAGTATACAATAGTATGGAATGCAATTGTATTTTATTATTATACAAAATGTATTTTCGTTCAATATTTTCAATATAATATATTAGTTTCTTCAACAAAGGTCAAAGACAATTTAATAATTCCGAATACAATACGGGAAATAAGTGTGTCAGGGATTTCCAGGAATGTTTATATTTTTATAATTATACATAGGTGCAACCATTGATTTTGGAATATAGAAATAATTGGTAAAGACCCGGGAAAAACAAAAAAATTTACAAAATGTATTATTTTCAAATTTTGTTTTTTTGTTATTATTCAGTAACAAATATTCGTAGAAACTTATAAATTGGACATAAAATTTGTCTTTTCTAAAAATGCTAACATTTTCAAAACATTTTAGCCATTTTCAAACTATTTATAGACGTTTTAATTTTGCGAGTTTTTTACGTAATTTTTTATAAGAAAGTAATCTATGGATACAATTGTTATTAACACTCTTAAAACTCTCCCCTAAGTGTGCCACTGGAGCTAGCACATGAGGATGTTACGTCCTCTAAAAAATATAACCAAAAGTGGTAGTATATCCAACGATTGAACAAAACCAAATTTACTACTATAAAATTCGATTTCGTTTATTTTGCAAAATATAGAACGCGATAAAAAAAAAACCATTCGGATATACAGATCACAATAATTCTGTATTAATAATGTATTACTGTGTATACTTAATTGCCAATATAAATATACGTACGTTAATTTAATAGCCTCGACCTACAAGTTTTAAATTTTCGTCACAATAAAAATTGGTGAAATCCGTAAAATATGAATAAACCATGTGTAAATCGTATTATAGTATGTTTTCCTTTATATTATGGACATTTTGGTTAACATTAAATCAGTCTATTATATATATAATTATATAGTGACTACAGTGTACTATACGCCTGCGTGGTGGCTGTAGAGGATTTGTTCAATAGCGTTTTGTTAATCATTTGATGTTTTAAATTTTGAATGGAGAAAGGAATACATTGGTTTCACAATGATGTTTATTTTTTTTTCTGTAGACAACTTTTCTATCAGCAATTTTGCTCCGATTTTCTATGATAGAATTTTTTCTAAAGAGAAAACTGACTGAGGAGGTACTTTAAGGAGATCATTTTTTGAATTTTCCCAATATATGTAAAAAAAAAACAGAAAAAAACGCGGGAAAATAGGTAGATACCTACAATATTAAACAAATACAGTAGAACCTCGATTATCCCCCGATAATCCCCCGATTAATCGTCTTTCTCGGTTAACCGTCAGGTCACTTGTGTATGAGTAGGTTATAAATAATAATACATATATATAATCCGAAACTTTCCGGCAATATCTATTAGATAAGCGATAGGTATATTTGTATGTGCATACATATATATTTAATGGGTGAGATAAAAACAGATAATTGCGATAGTGATCGCATTTTGTTTTTGAAAAGTCAGTCAGTTATATATTTCACGTGTGCTCGTTCGCTTGACCGTTCGCGTTTTTAGTCTCTTTGTGTGTGCAAATATTTTAAGTTTGAAAACAATGAGTGAAAAACGAAAGCGTGTTGTACTTGATTTATCTCAAAAATTGGATATTATTAAGCGTTTACGAAGGGGAGAAAGTGCAGTAAGCATAGCACCAATTTACGATGTTGGCCGAACAACTGTAAATGATATTCAGAAAAATGCCGATAAAATCAAAAGCCATATCTCCAAACTGCAATATGCACCAACTATGTAAAATTCATCACTTGAACAACTAGACTCCGTCATCAGTGGTTCATACAAACACGTTCTCATGAAGTGCCCCTTTCAGGACCTATAATTCAAGTGTAGGCAATGGAATTTCATAAAAAATTGAATGGTGAGCATTCCTTTAATGCAAGCACAGGGTGACTTCACAGATTTCTAAAATCATCACGGAAATCGCCAATTGGATATTTCTGGTGAAAATTAAGTTCTAATAGTAACGTTATAGAGTATAAAAAACAATTTTTAATCATGATAAAAGCCCGAAATGTGTCACAATTGCGACGAAACTGGGCTAAACTGGAAAGCTCTACCCGAAAAAACATTGGCGACGATGTCTGAAAAAGCAGCTCCAGGTTTTAAAATGCAGAAGGATCGTATAACAATTATGGTGTGCTCGAATGCTTCTAGTTTACACCGATTACCTCTACTTGTCGTGGGGAAATATATTAAAACAACAAAAATTAACCGATTTTTATAATATTAATTGTTAAGTATGTATGTAATTGTAAATAATAAAACTTGTTAATAAATTAAAAAAATAATAATAATAATATACCAATAAGTAATAGTACCTAATTATATCAATATGTATGTCATAATTACTAAAAAAAAAAAATAAATAATATGTATACATTTTTGTTGCTCGCTTAACCGTCTTTTCGATTATTCGTCAAAGCTCTGATCCCGAGACTGACAGTTAATCGAGGTTCTACTGTATTATTAATTACAAAAATTCAACTAAAATATGACATATTGTTGACAAAGCAACACTATCAACCGAACTCAATGCAGAATTGCTTTTTCGTTAGCAATGGTTAATCGTTGCTCACAGATATACATTAGATTCCCGTCTATATCTTGTCTTTTCAACCTCCCACCTACAACAGTGGTTGTTTCCAATATCCTAGAACAGCTTTTTTTTTACGCATTCGAGTAAAATTTAGGGTAAATCACGTATTTCTAGGCAACAGCATACAATTTTCACAAGTATTTTGCTCAGAATTTATTGCATTTTTATTGTAACAGAGCACGAGCAACGATGAACTAAAATTGTATATTTTTTAAATGTTAAGTATACATTATATTGAAATATTGAAGGAGTATATATTTTTGTCGAATTTTCCCGAAACTATTGCACTGTATTGTGTCTGACGGTCGTTTGTTCTATAAATACTTTTTTCTCAATGCTTGTGGATATTTCTAACAGCTTCCTCCGAGCCAAATGAACTCAAATAGAGTATTTTAATAGGAATTTAACCATAATATTTTGAGATGAGATTGTTTTTTCTAGCTTTATACACCCTTACAGTTGTCCCCTCCCTCAAATTAATATAGAAAGTAACATTTCGTGTGTATCAATGATATGTCTTTTGGGGGTTTTAAGTTTGAAAACCTACCAATACCATTTGTATGATCAAATTTCATCTTTCTTTTTTTTTTGGAAGTAGCATATAGTAAAGTATAGTGAAGTAACGTATAATTATAGTTTACGGTTATTTATTGTTACGTAAAGTTTTATGATAGGTACGAAATAGATTGGAGATAATTCGATTCTAGTGACGGAGCTCTCTGTTGATCACGAGTGTTTTTTTTTTTATTCTACAATATTTAATGTCATAAAATCCGGTCACCTGTTCTTGATATTAATACTATTGCGTTGCATTTATTATTATTTATATGTTTTTATTACTAATAGTATTAGGCGTAGTATAAGCTATAAGATACAGATTATCAGGGCTCGATTTCTGTAGTATTTCCTAATTATTATATAAGACACAAATAAAAATAGCAAAGTAAGTTAAGCATTTTTTTTTTCAAAATACCGTGGGCTACCCAGAAAAAATTCCTAAGTCTTTTTTTTTTCATTAAACAATTTTTCTACCCAAGAACTTACCCCAAAAAAACATTATAGGAACATTCTTGTACTATTTTTGATCTAGTAAATGCGTTGAGAAGCTCGTTTTTGATTTTCCCTGTAACAGTTTTGTACAATTTGTTAAAATAAACTTACAAGTTAGTCGACAATATACAATATTTTATTTTGTATATTTAAAACTTATTTCCTAAGTCTCAATGGGATTAAGAATCCTATAATACCTGCAGTTTAATATTTGTATTGGAAACATAATTTAAAACTTGTAGGTTTATCGCATAATAAAATACTTAATTTAAAAAAGACGTACTAAGATAATGGGGATGAGTGACTGTTATAGGTAATTTAATGTATACCTGTAAGCTACAATAAACCATTTCTTACAAAAAAAACGATTTTGAGCGGAGTTCAGGTGATAGTGATGCTTTGTCAATAATATATATGCCATATTGTAATAAAATATAAAATAGGCTCTATATATTTTCTTTAATTATATTTGTTTAATGTTGTACAGATTTTACCGGTTTTCCTAAATTTTTCTCTTGTTTTATGCCGGTTTTTCACATTTTCTGGGAAAACTCTTGGGAAAATCGAAAAATGACTTCTCTAAAGTACCTCCCCACGCCGATTTTCTTTCATAAAAGGTCATATACTTAGAAATCCGAACAAGTCTTCCGCTAGAAAAGTTGCGCACAAATAAAAAAACAAAACAAAATAAAAACATCTTTGTAAAACTATAAGTTTCTTCGCTCTACTCAAAATCTAAAATATGCCAAGAACATATTAAATCCGTTTACATAGATTTTTTTTTTTACATAAATATTATTACATTACCATATACCGAGGTACACGCACAATTATGTAACTTGTAATTCAATAGTACTGCATATATTATAAAGTGCATATTATCTATACGTAAATAGCCGATATCTTATCTCGTATTCAATAAAAAAAAAATACCGTCTAAGAGACATACTATAGCAGGTAATCTGTTCAATTTTTAAGTCAACTATATAATACTATAATATAGTAACAGTCTATTGTTTTTCTTATATAATACTATGTTGATAATTAATATTCAAGGTTGTAAGCGTCTAATAAGAATCATATATTTTTAACAGGTACAATACGTATACTGTATAGTTTTATAGTTGTTTCTGTATTCAATTCTGGTGAGATTGGTTTGTAGCACTTCACTCTTTCATTTTATTCACCGTTCCTTTCATTTCTTCATACGGACAGCAACGTTAGTGTTTTACTATTTGTTGAACTTTTTTTGTTAAACTTTAGATGTAGTTGGTTAGTAAGAAAGTCGTGTTTTGATTTTCCAACCGATTTTCTTAATAGTTGAAAAAAACCGAAAAAGAACTTAAGAAATAAGGGAAAGTTTATGGTATTAAAGGTTTCGTTATTTTTGATTTTGGCTCTACACCTCCACTACTCACCCGACCACCATGATGGACAATCCAATACAGAAACAGCCACCGCCGCTGCCGCCCCCATATGCCGCGGAGCTGCAACACACCGAACGGTACGGCGGTGCGTCGAAGTCGTTCCACATAAAATCCTGGTACCCAATACCTTTTTTTGGGTCATGTTAACTGTCAACTGTGAACCAGCTCGCAGTCAAAACCAATTTTTGTTTAATCTTCTAATCCTTAAAGCAAAATAAATGCTTGATACAACGTACGACTCAAAAGGCTTTATTATATGATGACAATATAAAAATATCGAAATGTTTTTATTTGTGTTTTTTTCTTTTTTGTAATTTGATTAAAACTATTCGTGGACTTCAGATTTTGACAGAATTTGTCTTTTCTAGACGTGGTAAAATTTTCAAAACATTTCGACAATTTTTGAGCTATTTCTAAGCATTCTATATTTGCGAGTTTCTTACGTAGTTTATATTTGGTAGTTACTATGCGGATATGAAAACAAAAATACACGAGATTCATTAAAAAGATTTCTTTGGTGATAATAAAAAAAGTTGAGCATAATGTAGTAATTTTTTTTTTTATAATCGTTTTGATATCAAATTTGGACAAAAATCGTAAATATTACGGCCTTACAGATCATGTATAAACGAACTTCGCTCAGAATAGTATCTCGTTAACAATTGTTTATAGTTACTTACAGATATAAATTAAATAACTTTACGTATCAGCTCTTTAATTTTAGATTTAAAGCAGAGCGAGCGAGAGAGATTGCAGGTTTTACTATGAAGTGTGTTGTTTTTTTTTATATGTATTCTTGGTACTTATTATAATATTCTTAAGAATATTATACACGTGTGTATAATTATAATTATTACTACTGTTTTTAACCGTTATATTTGTCCTTGTAAAATTACCGTTCAGATCTACATACATATAAATTAAATTAATAATAACATGTGTACTATAATTCTAGTAACTGTATATAAGTATCTGAGAATTTGATGAATTATAAAAACTTACTGCGTATTACGTCAAAACTTGGATAACAGTATGTTGTTTAGATTATTGAACACTATCCAAATGGCAAAGTAAAACACAACACTGACATAATAATTAAAGAACATTTCGTTTTTGCGTGCAGCGAAATGGTTAACGCGATCGTGCATTCTCTTTAAAAGTGTATGCTTTATTGTTTTTAGATTCAGAGAGTATTTCGGGGGATATTTTAGTTTTACTATGCTGTGTTTTTTTTTGTTTTATATTTTTCATTTTATGTTTTTTTTAAAGAAAAGTACCTATAATTTATTATGTGACAGGCTTTAATCACATTCGTTAATTGATTATTATTATTACAACTAATTAGCTATACATTTTTTTTTTCTGAACTTTAAACAGTTATTAAAAATCACGAATTTAATAAAAATAAAAAGTTGATACGTCAAACTGTTCATAAAAAAAAGCTCTATAAAACAGCTATCTTCAAGTTTTCCAAAAACAATAAAATTAAAAGTTATTTATTTAAGTTTTTTTTATCAAAACATAAAAAATGAATTACAGTATAAATATTTGTAGTCTTTATCCCTGTGAATAATGTAAAAACAAAAAAGCAAAATTTAATTATCTTCATTATTTCCGGAAATCTTTGTAGGATTGTAATATCAATTAATAAATACCATTAATCAATATCTTTGTTGGACACCCTGTATAAATGTTTCAATATAAAATGTTGATCAAAATCGTAAATATTTACGGTCTTTTAAAACATGTGTAACCAAACTTCGCTCTGAATCGTTTTTCGTTAGCAATGGTTTATCGTTGGTTACACGTAAAAATCAAATAACCTTATGAAACCCACCTTCTCAACTACCTACCTACAATAATGGCCACGCCCTTCCCCAGTATCAGCTCTTTTTGTTTTCTATTGTCATATGCAATAAAAAATCATACTTAAACAGAAAGTCATCGTAATATTATTTGTTATCTTTACTCGATTTATCAAATAATTTACAGGTTTGTTTACTGTAGTTATGCCTATCGTAAGAATTTAAAAAATGACTATTAATGTATGAAACGGTGTTTACGCTATAAAGATATAATAAATTACAGTTCTCTTTGTTACAATGTTACGCCGTTTCTAATGATATAAAAAATATATAATTAAAATGCCAACTGTCTAATATAATAACCCGGCAACCTGGAGGTAAGTTGATAAATCAATTCGTTTGCGTTTAAAAGTCGATATTCAAATTACGTATTATATGCGTAATAGTGCATTATATTATAATACATATTATATACATTAATTTAGAACTCGGATTTATACCTTTGATCTCTACAGAGAAAATTAAGTCAATTTTGCATATTTTTCAATACATACCAGTAAATTATACTTTGAAAACTTGAAAGCGTTTTCAACGAAATATTGATAGTACTCAGAGCTATAGGTATGTTATGTGGTATATCTGTATATACCCGCTGGTTAAGTTAAAACACCACTGGTAATATTATTATTTACGGTAGCGATCAGAAAAAACTATGCGAAAATGCATCATAATATTGCATTATATACGCCTGTAACACGAAGATTTGACACCTTAAAAAACTGTTGTTCTGTTTAATATTTTTAAGCTTTCTTTTCTATTGTTATAATTACTAGAAACTTAAAAAACTAAAAGAACGTTGTAATTATTCTATTGTATCTTTGTTTAAAAAAAATTTAAAGCTGAATAAAAAATACAAATGTTTAAAAAATTGTTTTTACAAAATCTAAAGTCAAAAAATTAACAATGCCAATAGTTGCATAAGATAATTGTGTAAAATTATAATATACCTACATTGAAGTTATTTGATAGTTTACATGAAATATAAATTGTATGTGTTTGACGCGGAAGAAATCGCAAGGAATATGAAATAAATAAAAATTTAAAAATATCAATTGAGAAACAATAATAATATATTTAAATTTTTGTTAGTCGTGTCAGAGAAAAGGAAGTAGGTACGGTAAAAAAATGATTGGCGGTTAAATCAATTTCTTCGGAAATGAATTCTAGATGATAAATCGATCTAGTTGATATGCAAGCACAACCAAACGGTGCTTGCAAATGTACATATATATTGTGTCTACCAAGATCATTTGACAAAATGTGTCATACTTAAACCACTAAAAGTTCCGAAAAAGTTACTGTTTTATTGGATGTATTTACCCTTTATGGGGCACCCACTATTATTCAAAATAAAACGGACGTGAATTCGTAAACAAATAATCTCTGCATTGAATACTATGTGGTAGAATTTAAAAATAGTTCACGGTAAGCCTAGGCACTCTCAAAGTCAATGTTCAGTCGAAAGAACAAACTGAGATATCCAAAACATGCTTGAAACACGGCTTCATCAAGACAATAAAACGAAAAAAAGGAGTAATAACTTAAGATTCGTATAGCTAATGAAAAATCTTGCTTATCACCAAAACATTCACCGTATAAAGCGAGGTTTGGTACCTCCTGTAAAATTAGTTTAGCATCTACATTATTTCCAGTCAATATAATTTAAAAAATAAATAAAAGGACGGACATACTTCGCGCGTGGGTGCAGACACTGTTGTAGGTGAGAATATATATATGTAAGCAACGATAAACCATTACTAACGAAAAAACGATTCTGAGTAGAGTTCAGTTGATAGTGTTGCTTTGACAACAATGTATATGTCATATTATGGTAAAATGATTACAACAATGTGCATTTCCATGACAACAATGATTGTTTAAAAAAGATTAAAATAATGAAACTTAATAATAACAAAAAATAAATAAAAACGGTTGCAATGGCAACCTTATTTTTAATATTTCAATCTTTTTAACCTAAAGACACAGGTTTTCCTCATTTTCTCGAATATTAATGAGAATTTCAAAAAAAGTGCTCTTTAAAGTACCACCCAGAGAACATTTCCTTTCAGAAAAGGTACTTTACTCAATAATCGGTGTAAGGTTTCTGATAGAAAAAGTGTTCACATAAAAAAAAATAAACATCTTTAAATATACTATACTTTAATATAAATACTATTTTATTATTTAAACATCTTTGTAAAACCAATATATTTTTCGCTAAACTGATAATCTAAAACCGGAGAAGAACTGCAAGCTGCCTTAGAGTCCATACAGGTCCTTTGTAACGTCAATACAAATAATGAAATATTGCATGATGTAAACAAAAGATGATAATAGTCAAATAATTAAAAAACAAAACAAACATTAACTAATCAAAATAGAAAAAAATCATTAAATAATCCGAAAATCCAAACAATAAAAATGAAATGAAAAATTGAAATCGGCACAACTGAAGATAAACTGTAACTACTCTACAGCAGGAACCAATTAATGATTACGAAATAAAAGTGTGTACAGATCTGCGACGCACCGGATGTTTCAATTACATTGCGAATAGCAGCTCGCGCCTTCTCTAATTTATTTTTCTATCAATATTATACAATTACTAGAAGAATTACCGGGCGTTGCCCGGAAACAAATTCGTGACAAATTAGATAACGCCATGTATTACCATTTACCGTCTTAAATTCATAATTATCGATAATATACATAATAACCTAATATCTATATATTTATTTTTATCGATAAACTTCTCGGAACAATTTTATTCTTATCTACACGACGACGACGACGAACAAAAAGGATAGGTTGCAGGAGACCCGCGGGCCGCCGTGCCGCACAATACGTATTGGCGGTGAATAATTATAACTGTTAATTACTCCACTAAAACGCAACATTTTTGAAAATCCCTCCTTATTGCACGGTGAAAATATGAGAAGAACCTATATTCCAAATTTCAAGTCCGTACGTCACGTAGATTTTGAGATACAGCGATCAGTCAGTCAGTGGTATTTGGATTTTATATGTATAGATTACTAATAGTGAATTTGAATGAAAAATATTGCACAAACAAATTATTAACTTATTTAAACCTTTTTATTAATTTGTTTATATTCGTGATTCAAATTGCCCGGGCAAGATCAAATCGCCTGGGCTATGTCAACCTTGCCAGTAACATAATATTATAAACATAGTAATTTTTAAGTATTATTGGAGCGTGATTCAAAAAAACAAAATTAATATTTTACAAAATAAATAATGTTACCTGTATATATATTGTTTTAAAATAAATGATTTAAATTTTTTATTAGGTATTCTTGAATATATATTATATATTACACAATTCGATGTAATTTTTTAATTTTTAATATTTTTTAACCTAACAAGGTCGTTATTGTAAGCAAATATCTGATATTTGTGTTTTACTTTATAATTATCTTGTAATTTTAGTTTAATCCTTTAAGTTTAAATCTTGTTATTAAGATTAAATCAATTGATGTTGGTGATTAATCGAGTTTTTTAGTTCGAAAATGATACTCTTATACATACTCTTATATTATGTTTAACCTGTGGCATAGCCGGTATAAGATATCTAAAATAAATCGCACTTGGGTTTTTCACGGTGTTTATGGTAAGGTGATTTTTGCAAGAGCTGAGAGCCGTTTCCATAAATATAATAAAAAGTTGTAAAATATCGCCCCCCTCCCTGTCCACTAAAATTATGGATAATTTTTGCCTATGATGGTTTTGTAGGTATATACGAAACGGATGTTAGATTTAGAAAACGGAACTGAAGCGAGTGAAGCGAGTTGCCGTGGATAGAGAGGAGTAAAGGAACATTTCACGAATTGATAAAAAAAAAAAAAAAAATGATTGTTGTTGAATGCCTATCGATTTACACGCTTATATTATTAATCGATTTACCGTGAAGCTATCGAATTGCGTAATACACATTATTATACAGACCATCTAGTGTTAATATTACGCGAAAATTCGCACTCGTCATAATACACAAACAATTTCGAGCGCCTAAAACAGTAACACGGTCATGATTTACCGACGTCCATTATAAAGTTTATTGATTTAAACGACATTTTAATAGTACCTTTAATACTTATAGTTCAAGGTTTCTCGACACGGTTCGTAACGATGAATAATGAGAAAATCGAGTGTTCCCGTGGAATATTAAAGAGACTTTTATTTTTATAATTTATACCTGCATATGATTATTATACGACTGCCTATTTTAGATTCCGAGCGTAACGAGGGAGCTATTGGTTTTACTAAGATGTTAATTTTTTGTTTTCCTTATTTTATTTTTTTTCTTAATTAGTCATTTAATTAATCATGGTTTTTCAAAATAAGAATAACCGAGCTTTGCTTCGAGTCATTTTTCGTTAGCAATGGTTTATCGTTGGTTACAGGTATAGATATAACCACATATTCTAGGTTACCAACTAATTACCTACAACAATAACCTTGCTCTCACTAATATAAATTATGCTTTTTTTTATTTATTTCATCCATATCTCCAAGGTTATCAATATAAAGTTAATAAAATAATCAAATTTTTGTTCCCAAAATACAAATAATGCTCCGTTAGCCACCACCTCGTTATGGATTGAATACGAGGCCGGGAAGTAGCCTGTATGTTATTTCTAGTCTAGAACTAGAAGCTTAGACTAGTTGTAGTAACATCCATCCATCCATACATCCACTTATCCAAACAAACTTTTGCATTTATATTATATTCTGTAGGATTAGTAAAATTAGACACTGTTAACGAAAATGTATAAATGGTTACAATTAAAATATATATTTTTAATACACGAGTTATAAACAAAATGAATTCAACACAATGTTTCCAAATTCAATATCTAATCCTCCTCGGCATAAGTCTAAATACGACTCCCGTATGAATATAATATCCACAAATATAAATATAGCTTAAAACCACTTACAGCGTTTTCCAAAATTGATTTTATATGACGAATCAAGAAAACTAGGCCTACTATACGACTCTATCAACTTTTTGTGTTTATTTTACATAAGGATATTTGGCATTTCACGAGCTGGTCGTATTTTTCAATGCACACAAGTGATAAGTCCGAACAAGAAAAAATATTTTGAATTACTGTATTAACATTGGTGTTCGTTTTAAGCGGACAGATGCAACGGTCCGGACATGCTATATTTGACGAAATTAATAAATGCAATTTTAAAAAATTACAAATCCATAAAAGACTTGTACGTCCGTGCTAAGATATAGCATTACAATAACAATTACTAATATTAACAAGGTCATTCTTGTTTCCACTCGAAAATTAATTTTAAAGGCAAATATAGAGTTTTAATGGAATTTAACAATTACGTTACGGTAAGTTTAACGCAGTATCAAGTTTACGTACAAGTAAAAAATTAAATTAAAAAAAAAAAAAAAAACGTTCTAGGATAATGGAGACAGGTGTAGCCACTGGTATAGATAATTTAATGTATACCTGTAAGCAAGGATAAACCATTACTTATAAAAAAATGACTCTGAACGGAGTTCAGTTGATAGTGATGCTTTATCAACAACAATTATGTCATATTATAGTAAAATAATTAAATAGGCTTTATATATTTTCTGTAATAATATTTGTTTAATGTTGTACCGATTTTACCGGTTTTCACATTTTCTGGAAGAACTCCTGAGAAAATCGAAAAACGATGAATGGAAGTACCCCACACTGATTTCCTTTCAGTAAATGTGTTATGCATAAAAATCGGAGCAAGGTTTCTGGTTGAAAAGTTGTCCATAGAACAAAAACAGATTGAATAAACATCTTAGTAAAACCATAACTTACTTCGCACCATTCAGAATGTAAAACTACAGGGAATCGAGAAATTCGAATACTTTAAAATTTCTTTAAACTTCTGAACTATTGAAAATTTGTGACGTATCATTTGATATTTTGCATTATCGACATTATAAATTATTTTATTTTATAGGTGAATTGGAAAATATTCTAATAAATCGAGCACGAAAATGACTTTGTGCGTTATTGTTCTTGTCAGTGGTCGAAGCCAACGGCAGCTTAAATAGTATTATACGTAAGTATTGTAACGATATGCTATTTAAGCTATCATACATAATGTAAAATAAAATATTATGTAATGTAAGAGATAAATCAAACAATTAATAACAGGAACGAAAATTAAACATATACATTCAATTCCATATTTTTTTATCAAAAAACGTATATTTTAATGCGATATCTACTCATCGTAAGGATATGCTATTTAAGCTATCATATATAGTTTAAATAAAATGTTTAATCAATGTTGTAAAATAATTATAATAGTTTATAGCCATTAAGTATTAGATTAAGTTGTTAGTATTAACCAGATTAAGATAACACATTTACACACGCACACACACATAGGTCTCCAGTTATAAGGAGGCCGGCCACTTCTAATCACCCCCAGTGCGTGTATTGTCCCCGTTGCTTTTGGACAGATGATCACAAGCGAGTGTAAAAACTACGCAGAGATTCTTACAAAAGTACGGGAACCTAGAACAGTGTTGTTTTATATTTAAAAAATTAATAAAAAAAAACAGTTGTTACATTAAAATTTTTTTATTTTATTTCGGTCACCTTTATCAGATTCAACAGATCATTTGCCGCCTGAAGGAGAAAGATAATCCAATTTATAATTAACTTACACGTGTGTATCTATTTTATATAATTAGGCTGTCCCCGTATTATTATTTTTAATTACAACAGTATAATAATAACAATAAAATGTCTACTTTTTTTTTTTAATATTATTCTATTTTTTTTTTTTTAACATTAGCTCACTCGTACGCGTATAACAGGATAAATAACGGTGAAATGCGTGCAATGCAAACTGGTCTCGATTACTGGCGATACAGTGAAATATTTAATTTTCTGACCCGCCAATACATCCGCGCAACTTTCTTGTTAAATTGGATAAACTATCCATGTCCATATCGAGCGTCTTTTATTTTTTTCTACAAAAATTTAAAAATTTAAATCGATAATATTATAATTAGAACGGTAAAAACGTTACGCCTTACGCGAGCGATTAAATGTTATTATTTAAGAGGACGTTATACCCGCATATACCGTCTCAATACAACTCTACCGGGTAATATGCAAAAACAATGATTACACAGAATAAGTAAAACTAGCTCAATTTTAATTTTAGAGCAAAAGTGTCCATAAGAAATGTATAAAAGACAATATTCTGGAGGAAATGATATAGGGTTTTTGTATTGTTCAAAATATAGAGCTCGATATAAAAGATAAAAAACCTTTTTTTTTTCTTTTTTAAATAACTTTTTCAATATTTCATAATTCAAAAAAAAATCTTTGACATTCCCTCCAAAATATTGTTTTCTATACATTTTATAATAGGTACTTTTACTCTAAAATCAAAATTAAGCTAGTTTTACTCGTTCCGCGTAAGCATTGTTTTTGCATGTTACCCGGTAATTGGACTGAGATAGTAGATGCGGGCATAACGTCCTCTCTATACGCGAGCACTAGACGACCAATTCGAGTAGCAAACTCGTCTGTGTATAATTCAACCGTAATTCTTTAAATTTTTAAATTTGTATCTTGCGTGCAATATGTTATCATGTTTTTGGAGATAAATAATATTATTGCTGTATATTTAATATAAATTTGTTCACACGGAAAAACCGTAGCTCATAACGCAATATAAACGTAGAGTGGTCGTATAGTTATGATCACCGAAAGTGATAGTGGCAAGATGACCGAATGGGTAATACGTTTTTTTAAAATATCAAGACATTTATTATAGAACCCGCGACAAGAATAAACGTACGTTTACGATGGCACGTTCATTTTTTATTGAAATGAAACAGAATATTAAACGGAACCCTCGGGGGGGAAAGGTCCTTGCGCAAACCAAGTGCGACGAAATTCTTATACAATGATATAAGTACGTGCCGGACAGTCATATAACATATTAGCAGACGACGAGTAGCTGCTGTCTGAACGAAGGATTATAATATTACGATGAAAACAAAAATCGTTTACACGTCGAACGCGAATGTTTACCGACGAGAACGGAAATTAAAAGGGCCGGTCGAACCTACAGGCGTTTTAGAAGTTGTCGCGAAGAGACGTGGTTTGGGCCGCACAAGCCGAAATATAATATAATTTTCATAGGCGCTAAAATAATGGACATATCAATGATGAAAGTGTTAATATATTTTCCCGGGTACCTATTTATTGTTAATATCAATCGTTGTTAGTGAAAAATTTAGTAAGCCATTTAAGGAACGTCTTAATCTAATCATTGATGGACATTGAGGTTTGGGTTGAAGGAAAGTAGCGGAGTATCGTTTGTATGGCAGTACGGCGCGAGACGTGTTAATAATATACCAATACAACTCTCCTCCAACTCAAACTTGAAAGTGAAATATTTCGTCAACGGATTGACGAAAATCAAAAATGTCAACACTAACATTAATTTTAACTAATATTCCATCTATATACGGAATTTTTAATATAGATTGCCGTTTGAAAATCAAAAGTATGTAGTGGTTTTACCCCCGAAAATAAGGGTGACAAAAAAATAACGTGAATACATGTAAACTGTAGAGCAGCTTGTTTCTTAAACCTTCTAGAAAACAGATGCCGGAAAAAATGAATACTTCCCGAGATAATCAATATACGTAGTCACTTAAATGGATCACCTGGTATATTTATGTAGACGTCACTGTTTTAGCGTTATTTTTCATGTACACGCGGATCGTCTGTATTTCGTACCGCTCATCAATTAACGAAATATACATCGTAAAGATATCGAGTCATTAGAATGGAAAAGCTTATCGGGGTGTTTTTCTAGGGGAAAGAGGGAGAGGGTGCTAGTTTTAAACTTGGCGGTGCTAAACGTCCCACAGCCCCTCCCACCCTCAGCCTATTTCGTAACGCGTGGCCGCAGCGCGGGTCGGCGTATCGATCGTACCTGGCGAACAGTTTCTCGTCGAACCATTCGGGCAAATCTCTGGGCCTTTTTTTGTCCACCGAAACGTTCTGTCCGTCCCTGAGTAACGCCGTGACCCGCTGCTCGGGGCTGCGCGGGTCGTTCGCTTTTTCCTGCGTCGCTGCCGGAAACACTGCAAAGTGAAACAGAGAAAAAAAAAACCCGATCAATATTCGGTCACGCGAATGCGCGCAACGGAACACGATGCACCGTGCACACGCGATATAATATTACAAAATCATAATAGAACGGTATGACGCGCTAGAAGAAGAAAAAAAAAAAAAAAACGGAAAAAACCGCTCGATAATCGTTACGGGCTAACGTTTGAAAATCGGACAGATTTCCGTTCGGTATTCGCGCCGTTAGTTTTCGTTGTCGCCGGGCGAATATTTGGCCCGTTATCAAATACGACGGACGTCGCGACTGCGCTTGTACGCGGGGAGGAGGGGGGGGGGGGGGGTGTTTAAACGGTGCGCTTTAATTTTCAAATTTTCAAGACGGTTTTTTTTTTTAACGTTTCGCGTGCCACGTGTGTGTCTCAAACGTAACGATTGAAAAAATATCGAAACCAACGACAAAACCAACGCACAAACACGGACGTGACGATCGTCGTACCTTCGAGTTCCAAGCCGGTTCGCCGCGATAATCGAAAAACTAACGGCGCAAATCGGTTTCATCCGGGATGTAAAATTCATCGGATTTTCGACATTTGCGGCGACACATTATAATAATGTTACGATTGTACAACAGTGTGCCGTTTCCGTCGAAAAACTCGCGATTTTCGATTTTTTTTTTTTAAATTTAAATTTAGAACAATAAATTTAAATTCAGTGACGTAGCAAGGGTATGGTAGACCGTGCCTACGCCAGGGGCGCAAAATTGTGCAAGTCTTATTTTTATTCTACCTTCAAAACGAAATTGTTCCATTATATGTACCTACTTTTTGAAATGTGTATATTTTGTCTAATTGTACACACTACTACGTGTGAATTTAATGATGAAATTATGAAAATAACACAAGGGAATTCCAAATTGTTCCATTAATTGTTGTTATCAGCATGTATTTATACATAAATACCATATTTTTAGTCAAATTTAAATGAAAAAATTTAAATTGATTTTTGACGATGTGTGTGTGTGTGCACTACGCAGATATGAACATCGAACTCATCTTTATCGCAGTGGCGTGCAGAACATTTTCCATACATGTTTTGAGGCGAAACAAAAAAAATTGAAACCAACCAATCAAAACATGGATTTTTGAACCCGCCCATCCATTTTAGTCATGAGACAATTGCCTTGAAAAACATACTTCGACACGCCACTGCTTTTTCGTAACATATTCGGATCGCCGGACTATGCAATATGAATAATTGTGTCAACGACAATTTTATTTTTGAAAAGTGGTGACAATCGTATTATAGACTGTGCGGATAATCGTATCGCCAAGTTTTGGCCGTCAATGCTATCACGCTATCACAAAAGTTGAATTGGTTTTTAATACAATATTAAACTATATAAAACTACCTACATAAACATTTGATATTATTTTCTCAACATTTTAATTTTACAACTAACTGAACAAATTTCCATTTCCTGATTACCTGTATATATTATATTATCTAAATCTAAATATTCATATCTGATTATATCTCACGTTGTTTTGGGTACTTATTATTTTTTACAATTTAAAATAATGTCTTGAAAAAAACCTTCGGGTGCATGGTTTGAGAAACAAAGAACAATCAATAATTTTCAATAATGAAAGAATCTATTAATCAAATCTTATCCCCAGACAAAATGGCTTTTGAAACGTAGTCCAAAAGAAAATCTAGTAGATCCTTCATAAACTGATACTAATAATATTAATCGTGACGTAATAATATCCGAAATTTCTACCGCAATATTACTAGTTACTATACCATTGTATTATTAAAACAAATTAATAAAATTAAAGGTCAAAAATGTATCATCATATCAAATTTTTAATCGGTAAAAGAGCGTTTTTTTCTAAGTTTGCCAAAGGCGTTAGCGGGTCTTCCTATGCCACTGAATTTAATATTATTAATACTTCAAAACTGCGAAACGACGAGAAGTGAAAATAGAAATATTTCCGCACAAAACCGATCTTCGGGGAGTGCGGCTCAACGGGATTGGCCTTCTCGCGGTACCCCCTGCCCCCTGCCCAACGGTAACTCTATAAACTATATTCGGACGGAAACGAAAATCGAAAACCTTTTACGATTTTTTTTTTTCTTTATTTGTAGACGGTAAACGAACGCCTTTTTACAAACCAACGCGACCGCGACATAGGTGCGCATTTCGTAATGTCGTGCGAGGGAAAAAAAACGAAAAGAAACCTAATAAACTGAACGCCAAACTTACTTGCTCGTGTACGCCTGTACACGTAAGAGACACTCGGCGGCGGCGGCGGCGGCGGCGGCGGCGGCGGCAGCGGATTTACGTCGTCGTACGGGAGAAATCGTTACGCGTCGCGGAATCACCGTCTGTCGTCCTTACAGCGTGGTGCGCGCTCGGCGGAGCGGACGGAACGTCTGTGCGACCGACGACGAGCGGGCCCGTTCTACGCGACCATCCGGCCCCCGAACGCGTCCGCGGCGCGCATGCGACGTTCTACCCACCACGCAACAACTATTCCGTACTGTTATTATTATTATTATTATTATTATAGAAAGCGGACGGGTCGGTAAAAACCGGTATATTATTACGACGACGACGAGAGGCCGCTGCCGCAGCTGCTTCGCCTGCGCGGCCGGGCGAACGGCGAAATACGTCCGAATGCGATAATAATAAAACGTAAAAATAGTAAATAATAATATTATCGAGCGGCGCGTGTGAGCGTGCGCGCGTCTCAAGGACATCCGTTTCTCGTTTTTTTTTTTTTTTCACATTCTCATTCCCCCATTATACACATTTCGTCTCGCCCCGGTTATTTTTTACTCTCTATCGTTATTAACGTTCGCGGCGCGTCGCAATATTAATTATTATTGTAGCGCGAGACTCGCGCTGTTTGTCCGTCGTCCGGCGCGCGCGCATTACGGTTAGTGAGGTTTGCGACACGAGACGACCTCGTCGACGACCGACGGCGGTCACTGCGACGTCGTCGGCGCGCACACACACGCGCGTAATAAATTATACGGCCGCGTTCGAATCGGTCGGCGGGTATATCCCAGTGGGGCGTCGTTCATAACCGCACGCTGTTCCCCCCTCCCCCGCAACCACCACCGACAATGTTTAGCGTAATAGTTGTGGGTATTCTCCGACCGTTCGCATTTTGATTGACGCAATTATACGCATAATAATATACCGCAAATCAGTGGCGTACGCGATTTTTCAACGGGGCTTGAAAATCAATAAGTAATCAGTTGTTTCGTCACAAGTTAGAAAAATAAAAAGGTCGGATTCTTGGTTCTGACTGATAATAAACATAAAATATACATAGAAAAATGAAAAAATACCGTAATATTTAGGTAGGTAACTATACCAATGTTGGGCAGTGAAATACAATTTTTAAGGTGGTTGAGTAAGCTTGAAAAAGCCGGAGATCGACCAAAATTAGAATTCTATGAATTGTGAATTGCATTACTGACCATTTTTTTTTTTTCGAATTTTAAAAATCGAAAAATATTCTATCTTTTTTCTGTCTTTATGATTAATTAAATAGTTATTTTAGTGTGCGAAACTATGAGTTACGTTTTATACGGAAACAATAACGAAAAATCTAATTATAGAATATATTATTACTTTGACACTCGAAGGAAATAAGTGAAAACAAAGTTATCTACATAATTGCTTTTCGCTAATTAAAGATTATATTATTATTATCTACAACATCAGTGGGCTAACAACGATACGTTAATTTTTGGTTACATCAGTTTAGTAAGTTCAATATTGCTAACATAGATATTATCATCTAAGGTTATGTGCCAACTCACTTGTGCACAATATCACCAACCGCCAAAGTTGTAATATCAAAAAACGTCCAACGATAATGGGAACGGGTGCTGCCACTGCCATAGGTAATTTAATGTAATTTAATCTGTTAGCAACAATCAATCATTTCCAACGAAAAAACGTTTCTGAACGGAGTTCAGTTAATAGTGATGTTTTGTCAACAATATACATGTCATATTAATATGGTAAAACAATTAAATGGGCATTATATATTACCATTAATAATATTTGGTTGATGTACCGATAATCCTACGGTTTTCCGGTTTTCCCGTATTATTTTCTGGTTTTTCACATTTTCTGGGGAAAATCTTGAAAAAATTAACAGAAGACTTCTCTCTCTAAAGTACCTCTCCAGTCATATTCCCTTTTAGAAACATCGCTATCATTATATGTTGGAATAAAATTACTGGTAGAAAAGTAGTCCACAGAAAAAAAAAAATAATAATAAACAAATGTTTAAAACCATAAGCTTCTTCGCTCTTCTCAGAATCTAGAACCATTGTTTATAACTGGGGTCAACACAGTTAGACAAAAATAATAATCTTATAAACCTAATAATATCTTATTCTGCGATAATATGTTTATTAATAAATAGTGGTGGTAAATTAAATTATTTACGGAAATAGTGAATTTTATGAATAAAAGTCCTTATATACTAATTATTATTACAGTTAAAATTTGAAAAAGCGCCGATACTGGGGACGGTTGCAGCCACTCATGTAGGTGAGAAATTGGGAAGGTAGTATGCATAAGGTTATTTCATTTATATCTGTAAGCAACAATTAACCATTGCTTGACGAAAGACGATTCCGAGCTCAGTTCGGTAGTACATAATTTGAAGTGCAGTCATTTTTTTTTTCGCTCTTTTCGTTTAAATTTAATTTCAAAACGTTTATTGAAAAAAAGTCGTCTGATGATTTTGGAAATTTTGCTACTTCTACATAAGTCCAATATAAGTATTATTACCAAGTTTCAATTCTCTACGTGTATTTATAACCGAATTACAGCAAAAAACTCCCAAATATTAAAATTCCTTAAAAGCTCAAAATTGGCTCTAAAATTTTGGCGATGATACCATAAGAAAATAAATCAAAAAGGCAACAAAAAAGGTGTTATGTAGTTTTTCGATTAAACCATTTTTTCTGGTAGAAAACGTCGTCCGTGTTTTTATAAAAAAAAATGAAATAATGCAATTGTACGTTTTCCCACGTTTTTTCCCACTTAAATGCTTTTATTTAAAAAATGGCGTCAAAAATTAATAATGGCCTATTTAAAGTACCATCTAGACCAACGTTTCCCAACCGGTGTGTCGTGAGCACTCCATAGGTGTGCCGCGAAATATCATGATTATAATTAACGTTTACGTAAAATTCCGATAGTAGCTTAAAATATGTTTAATGATTCTCTTATAGGCGTTTACCTGATTGTTATAATCTTGAATTCTTGATAAATAGTGTAATAAAAATTATTTTTCTTCATAATTTCTTATTAAATCGTTGTATTTACTTAAAACTGGATAGTCGTTAGTCGTTCGCCGTGAAGCAAATTTATCATACTAACATTTTTATTTAAACCGAAATTTATTTTATACGCCCTCTTTGAACGTCACTGATATTCCACGTGTTGCGCACGTATAATGGATCGTTTTTCAATTAAGAAACCTAAATTAAGTGAGGAATTGTCTTTCCCAAATACAAGTGCTCAAATTGTTGATGTTGAAGAATTGCCTGGTCCTAGTTCTATGAATACCATTAAAACCAAAAATTGATCACAACTGAAGAACTTAAAAGACGATATGAGGGTATGTTTGTCAATCATTCGACCACGAGTAAAACTTATAATGAAGGAAAACCAGGCACACATTTCTCATTAGGACCAAATTTGTATAAACTAATCTTAATATATATGTTTTTCCAAATCATTAAATTTAACATTTGTAATAAATTAAAATATGATTTTACATGAATTTTTGTAACCTAAATAAACACATAATTTTCAATTATTTACTAGTAATTTACTTATTTACAACTATTTTGGTATAAATATGGTAAAATCCTAATATAAAAAATACAAAAATATATACATATATAAGTCAGTGTCAAGTGTGCCACAGTTAAATATAGGTTAGGATTAGTATGCCGTGAGGGGAAAAGGTTGGGGAACGCTGATCTAGACAACTTGAGCTTTCAGAAAAGTTGCTACACGTAAAATTCAGAGCAAGTTTACTAGGAAAAAACGTGTCCACAGACTAGAAAAAAAAATAAACAGCATTGTAAAACCAATAACTCCCTTGCTACGCTCGGAATCTAAAAGAATATGTATATATATAATAATTATCTGTGGATTAGTTGAAGAAGGGCCATTATGTCACATTTTGTGATTGTTGGGAAATAGGCTTTGAAATTTTATTTCCCCGTAAGGCTCTGTGTATTTTATTAAATGTTGTTGGCGTAATTTTTAATTTTTACAAAAACATTTAAAAAAATGATTATTTAGAAAATAAATAATTGCACATTTGTGCAGCACCTTTTTCGAAATGAAATCGGTGTGAGGAGGTACTTTGAGAAGGCCATTTTTTTGATTTTATCAGGAATTCTAACCAGTGTGACCGGTTGAACAAAACGAATTTCAACATTTTGTAACCGAATCCAATTTTGAGGGAAAATAGTCACCGGATATTCTCAAAGAATTTGTGGATACATTTGTCTAAAATCAAATTATCGTTTGAAAAGCACCGCACACCAGAGCAAAATCAGGCGTTCATAACAATTAAACTTTCGATACATTTCGTATTTATCACTATCTTTAGCTTATCGAAATATTGTTATAATATTATTAAAACAATCGTCATTATTACTCCGAAAGATTTTTGGACACGATTCCGATAAGTATGGCACAAAAATGTATGGTGTTTTAGATAAAGCTCATCGATTCGAGAAGAAAAGTCCTTATTGATAATATCTCAAATAGTTTTCGAGATATCGATAACTCGAAATCGATATCTTCAAACATTTGATCGATAGGAATTAATCCAAAATGTGGTAAAAAAAAGATGTATCTTTTATTATTATCATTTTTAGTTATTGATATTTTAGTAGGTAACAGGGTAAAGTGAAAAACATATACATATATATGTCTCGAAAACTATTAGAGATATCGATTTTTCTTAGAAGACTTCTTTTCTCAAATTGATAAGCTTTATCCAAAACCTTTTGTCACCACACTTATCGGAATCTTATCGATTTTTGAATGAAACTTTGTTATTGAACTTATAGATTCTGAGCGGACCGAGGAATGTATTGGTTTTACAATATGGTATTTATTATTTATTTTTTCGAACTATGAACGATGAGTTCTACCGAAAATTTTCCTCCAATTTTAAAGTGTAATACTTTTCCTGGAAGAAAATCTAACTGGAGTGGTACTTTAAGAAGATCATTTATTTGATTTTCCTATGGGTTTTCATAATAAATGAAAACAAATAAACAGGAAAAACAGTAACATTTACAAAACGTATTATTTTCAAATCTTAAATATTACGACCTTCTCCGCTCAGAATAGTTTGTCGTTAGCAAAGATTAATAGTCCAGATATACATTAAATTCCCCTCTATATTCTACCTTCCCAACTTCTCGCCTTCAACAGTGGACCATTGTGTGAAGTATGTCCATTGTCCGTATCTTTTTTTGTTATTGATTGTTTTACTTTGTCATTTATGAGTATCAATATTTTAATTGATATTGTATATAGATAATTAATAATAGTATCTTGAGTATAATTATATTATAAACAATTAATAACTATAATTTTATAGTAATATTTCGAGTTTTGGAATATTTTTACCCCGCGCAACCAAATATGACAAATAATTTGATGACGAACTAGTGACAGGTTGACAATAGACAAAATGTGTGCGGTGTTAAACTATGTGAAATGTGTGGTATTCGTCGACTGTATCCACTCTTACAGGAGTCCCCAAGGATCTAACGGCCGAACCCGACCATCTCGCCGCTAACCACCTCACCTCCCCACTGATTTAATTAAGAAATCAGGAGGGGTGGCACTTTGAATATGAAGTGTCCCTAAAGTTCGCCACACATTACGGTTTTATTTGTCTGTGTATGGTGTACAGAGTAGTTTGCACAATTTTAGTTCGTACACCGATGAACAACACACACTATCCATTTTGTATCATTGTATGGTATTCGAACAACACGGAACGTTTTTTAAAAACGAATACCGAATACTAAAATTGACCCCATACTATCAACATTATTGTTAACGTATTTATCGTATTTAATCGCATATTATGGCTCCTGTTTCGCACACCGTAAATTTAGCTTTGGCAACTACTGCCGTGGCATTGGTCCTTAAAACTAAAGGTAAAAAACAAAAAAAGAAATGGACTTAAGATTGGCTACTGAAAAGATCGCAATATTCGTATGTAAATTTATTAAACGAATTGCGATTCCATCCTAAAGACTGGCAAAATTACTTAAGGATGGATGAGAAACCTACTTAGAATTACTTCAGTTAGTTACACCTCTAATAGTAAAATAAAACAAGTTACTCACTTATGAAAATCAATTACCCCTCACGAACAGTTGACAGCAACATTTTTAGTTAGGTACTAGTTTTTAAAACTGTACGGTTTTAGTTCGAACACCGAAAATGTACACACACCTTGGGTTTTCTTCATTCGAACTCCAAATACGGACAAAAATCAAACTCCTCAGTTTTATTCCGTTTCTGTGTACGGTATTTTTGCCTACACACTATCGGTGTACATTGTTCGAACTACACCGTACACGGAAAAATAAAACCATAGTGTGTGGCAAATATTAAGCCTAAAGGCAGCCTTAAGGCTCTATCCGTTATACTGCTACTAGTTGATCGGCTCCCTAAATGCTCTGAGCTTAAAAAACTAACGTCTAGACGTTCCATGTATATCTTCCCTTCTGTTGTATATTCCATTCTGTGTCTTACCTTTTTACCCTGTTTTCTACCTGTTTTAATAATATCTCTGGAAATCACCCCTTAAATACGCCACTGTTTTTTTCAGTTGTTCTCTTCGTGTTTTTTCCTAGTTTATAATATAACCGATAAATTAACAAAAAACACCCTGATTGTAACTCACTCAAAATGTCGATACATGTTCCACGTAAAGTAAAATCTAGCAAAAATTCTAGACTTTATCCAACTATACTTAACCCTATGCTTCACATACTCTCCACCGTTCTTTTATATGAAATATCCTAGGTACATAAAACTCGCAACCTCGCATAATACGTAACTGCTTATTTTCGTTTGTTGTCTTTTCCTGTTCTTCCAAACTTATACTTTATATACTCTGTTTTACATCTACTTATCCTTAGGAATCTTAGGAACCTTATCTAAAGAATGTCTCCGTTGATTTTCAGTCCAATCGATGGACAAAAATAAGTTGTTTCACTCATTAAGATTATAGGTGCAGGTACTTAATAAAATATATCATATATTATACGATATTATCGTAAAAGCTATTGGTATACCTACTGAAAATAATAATATACGGGTATAGTTAGCTGGTAACCTAATGTACCAAATATTGAAAAAATAAAAAAAAAAACCGGTATAAATGCAGTAAATCAGTGATTCCCGAAGACTGGCCCACTACGAAAATGGTGAAAGTATGCTATAACAATATCGGTGAAAGTATAGTAATGAAAGACGCATCATAACGAAATCGCATATAGGTAGTTTACCTATTCAATGTGTACCTACGACAATACAAAACAAAAACATTCTCGGTATACCAGCTGTGTAGTGAGCACTTATTATAAGTATATTGTATAATAAAACTTAGCTCGATTGATGTTATTTTGAAACAATAAATTCGGTATTTGAATTTAAAAGTACACATAAGAATAGAAATGTTTACATAAACTGTTATTGAGTAATACTGAAATATATGTTTATTTGTATTCTATTTTATATAAATAAAATACAATTTTTTTTATATAATATAATATATTCAGACATTCACTATGAACATGTAGTGACACCAGTTGCGTACTCAAGAGGGTGATATGGGTGATAAATCACCTCCCAAAAAAGTCTAGAATCAATATATTTTTCTTTTTTTTGCATTAAATTGTTGCAAAATACAAAACAAAAAATATTAAAATATCAATACAGTGAAACCTCTAATACTAAACACTCTCGGTCACTGAATTTTGTCCACCTCAAAGAAGAAAATGTCCATTATTTAGTGCCCCGTGTTTATATTTAAAGGCTTTTATATAGGTAAGTAGTGAAAATATCTCCGTTCCCAAAAAAACGTCCACTATTTGAATGTCCGCTATTTAGAGGTGTTAATTATGTTCAAGCTAAGGTTCGGTAACTAATATAGTTTTGATTTAATTTTGTGATTAGTATAATATATTATTTATGACTTTGTCTTGGCGTTTTTAACAAATACTATCCCCCCCCCCAAAAAAAAAAATAAAAAAATGTCCTAGTTACGCCACTGAGTACCACCCATCAACCCATGGTACCTTACCAAGTAGTGCAACTGCATTCATAGCCGAATGTCTGAGTGAGTCATCTAAGATATCTTGTGTGTTTAAACCGAGAAAAAACTGAGGAAAAGCGGGAAAATCTACTAAAATGTAGATATTAGTAAAAAAATATTACAGTCCCTTTTTTTCTGTGAACAACTTTTCTATCAGCAATTTTTCTCTGATTTACAATGAAAGCACTTTTTCTAAAAGAAAATCTAATTGAAGTGATACTTTATGCAAGTCATTTTTTGATTTTCTTAGAAGTTTTCCCAAAAAATTGGACAAACATGGAAACAAACGGGAAAATAGATACAATATTAAACAAATATTATTT